GCCGTCTCTTCGTAATTTTTATATCTATATATTATATATATTTGCCATAGTTGCCACGCCTGGCAAGCGGGTTGGCAACCGCAGTTTTTTTTTATTTTATTCTTTCTGTTATCAGAAAGATACTGCTGCCCATCTCCTACCTGTTTCCCACTGTTGCCTCTTACGTCACCCACGGGAAGATATAGGGTAGTGGATATTCTTAACCTCCACTACATGGGTACAACCATCTGATGGTAAGTGGATACTGTGGCCCATAGACATCTACATTTATCTTCAATTACAAATCAAAATGCAGATGCGTTGTCATCCCTGAGGACTAAGATGGAATGCCTCGTTTGCAGTAAAAAGGGTCTCCGGTTTTCTACACTCACCATACGAAACACAGCAGCATTAAGCTGCTATTTTACGCTGGTATTCTGTGAGAGCGTGGTCCTTCCCCGTTCGAGCCGACCCATTCGTGCTACTAGGATACAATTAATATAGCTTGCGCACGTGTAAATGCTATTATATTAACCGTAAATGTCTAAAATTATTTAATATTTCCGATAAACTTTACCTTTTTGTTTTTTTCATATAGCAGGAATCGCCGTTAGGAAGATTAGACAAATTAATGGTACATACATATGATAATGAGTATCTATTACCACACTGAGACACTAGCGAGTAACTTCAAACTAAGCTCTCTGTTAACTCACTCAAAATTAAAAAAAAACACTCAAAATTTAATGCCCTACAGCCTTTAATTGTACTGGATATCTTACCTTTTCAACCGAAACAAACAGTGGGCGCACTATCGCCCAGTGGTTGGAAAAGGTAGGTACCAATATCTGGTACATGGCAACACTAGTTACCACTAGCGCCCTCTAACATCGAGTAGCAGAACAAGGAGAGTCAAGATCCTTCTAGAAATTTTCATGGAAGAACTTTCTAGAACTATCGACACCTAGTCAGTCGGGGCCTTTATGTACTCGAACATTCTAGATATTTCTACAGTAGAAGGTTCTGAAAATTATCTGAGGCCCTTTATAAGGCCAATATAGACCACGACCCAGTATGTACAGTATGTAAGAGTAAGTATTGAATTGGCGATACAAGCGAATACTTTGAAGCGATACAACTGCGAACTAAAGTGATCAGTAGTACAATTGTGTTTTGTTATTATTGTGGTTTTGAGTTGTAATTAGTGTTCTGTAATTAAAGTGTCAATTTCGGTAATTCACTCGGCAGTTTTTAATTGTCTCGAACCCCAACCTCGTAACAGTATTAACTAGTATAAACCCAGACAGTAGTAGCAGTAGTTGTATCCATTCTTTACTGAACCATCCTTTTTATAGCAAAATGTAACGGCTAGTATTTACTGAACCAATTAATTTATTATAAAACTATAATAATAAAAATTTAATTTCATAAATTATCATACAGTCCTACTACTCCCCATGGTATCGAGTCAAGAGGCTGCGCTACCTGGCTGTATGGCTATGCCTTGGGCGAGAAAATAACCAGCCGTCTTATCACAAGCAGCAACGATTAGTCGCGGATAGAGTTCCTTTATGAACTTTATCACACGTTGACCCCACGGACAGATAGTCTCTACAGCAAATGCCACAAATATGAAGTCATCTCTCAGAGACTCATATTATAGAGAATACTCATCTTCTCAACGAATATTTATTATAGTGTTTTATTGGTAATGGAAAAATGTCAGATAAGTCTTATAGCTTCCAACAAATGGCAGGTTAAAAAATAATCACGTAGGTATGAAAATTCAGTAGCTGGAATCTGTGTAATGGCTAACCGCTTAGAGTCTAGCTGGTCGCCATTGTAGTGCATGACATTGGTAGAGGGAGGGAAATGCTCTCCAAAATAATATGTAACGCACACCATTTATTTTTTCACGGGGATTTTTGCTAATTAATTTATAATTTAGAACGGCCCCCTACTAGATAGTGCAGCAAGAGATGCAGGAGAGAAGTAGGAAGATATGATTGCAGGTCGATCAGTGCCGTGGTTTGAGGATTTCTTTAGTATATTTTTCCTTACGTGGCGTCCTATATAGTGTATTCTATGTAGGTTCAAAAGTGAACGTGTAAAGGGTTGTAATGATGAAAATCATTTACTCTAGTCATTTTGTTCAAGATAAAGTTATTAACAACATTGTGGTGTATTAAATATGCGTATAAATAATAGTAATGAAAGTACAACATCATATTATGAAAGTTAAATCCTACAAATTGTTGACTGTAACACCTCATTTGCTGTTTAACAAATCGTTACACTTTCAAAATTAGCGCTCGTGCTCGTATAGCATTAAATGCCGGTTGTTCTCTAGCGCCCACGGGCTCAGTTACGTTACATTAAATAGCATACATTCTCGTTAGACTGTTACAACCTAAGTGCCTAGTAACGTTGGAATAATCATCTAGCTTTCGGACAAACTTGGCTCGAGGAAATGTTTTAGGCTGACAATTTATCATCCTATTTCGCAAAGGAACTGGTTCTCGGCTATAAATGACTTTCATTATAGTGCAAAGATTCGAACAATCATTGATTTTTCTGATCCATTCAAAACAGTGAAATCCTGTGAACAATAATAAGAACCTGAGTATGAAGTGTAACGTCTGGTCTTTTCGATCTATTTACAGATCACAAGTCAAAACTATTGTCTCTTAGGAGAAGGATATTACTATGTTCTATAATATATTTTGTATTTAGAGCGGAAGCATTGAAGCTTTTCAACTTTGAAAGATATTGCATTTTGCAAGTGATAGTATTTTGTTTAATGCTTTGCCTAATTTCATGGTATGGATAGACAACATGCAACATGTAGACTTTGGTGATTTGTCTCTGTCATTACAAACAACAATCGAGCAAATATTCTATCTTGTGAGTATCTTGTTAGCCTGCTATGGGTAGATTTAAACATGTCTCTGTGTTTCCTGTATACTCTCGGGTCTATAACAACGCCCTTGAGAGCTTCTCGATAGTGTTTTTTAGCTCAGATCAACAATTATTCACTAATATATTCACTTACGATAATCACAAAACTCATAATAATGTTTATTGTGCTTTGTGTTCCTTTCGTACCGTGGGTATCGTAACAGGCGTTTATGGACAATAGCAGAAATATCTCATGGCTTCCGATAGATGGCGGTATAACTACCTAGTTTCTAGCAGATGTAAACACCCTGACTGGTGACGGGTAACATCATCAAAGATGCAAAAGTAACAGTACTGCAGTTAGAAGTTGCAGGAGTGGATCTAGAGGGTCAGAGACTGAAGACGTTTGTTCCTTTACTGTCTTTCGTGTTGCTATGTTTTGGGACCCACACCTAAATGTCAAAGGAATTACGGGATTATTCTTCTTCTTCATCATCAGCCCGTGAAAGTCTACTCTGCAAGACATGGGCAACTCCCAATGTAAGGGTAATTTGATATTTGTCACGCTAGGCAGGCAGATTAACGATTGCAATACAAGATGTTTTCACACCTTTGACGTTGCTGTTCGTAGCCGCTCTGGATATATTTGTGTCTGGCTCTGACGTAACCGATATGGTGATACTGTCATATATCGAAAGCCATTAGATTTTTCTGGCCTTTCCCATAGGCGCTTCTTTCTACACGTACGTAACGGGGTGATGAATTTATTTACGCCGTTACAACACGGTTAATGAGTTATCGTTCATTCCATATAATCGATGTATCATCAATTGCTGAGCATAGGCCTAAACTGTGTAATAACAAACTCCCTTTACAGTAGGTGGTAATCCAGGTCTAGCAGTACACTTTCACGGACTGATTATGGTTATGACGATATTATTCCAAAAGGATCAAAAATACCGATAAAAATATAAAAAGATAAATATACAAAAGTAGGTATTGAAATAAAAATTTGTACAATAATGCTGTATGAGCCCTATATGGTACCTCGTAAATATAATATTTATAATAGGTAATAAGTATTTCTGAGCGAACAGTAATAATCAGGCGTCATAGAATATCTAATTTAATTTAACATGAAAGCAATTTGATGTACGAGTAAAATATCAACATACGCTAGTGAATCATTTACATCCCAATGAATGACTATGCCGTATTATAAATACATGTCGACTAATGTAAATATCTACAAGTCATCCCGCTAAGGCGCCTGAGATTTTAACGCAAATAAATGTTTCGTAGTATACTAATAAATATATACTGTATAATAATAAACTTGAAAACAAGATTGTACAACCAGTACGTGTTGCCAGTGATAACTTATGGATCTGAGGCATGGTCTTCACTGCTGGCCGTATGAGGAAGCCCAAGGTCGCTCAGCGAGCTATGGAGAGCAGCATAGTCATGTTTGGGGTTTCTCTGTGTGATAGACTTATAAATATGAGAATATCCGCAGTAGAACTAGAGTAACTGACATAGTCCAACGTATAAGTAAGCTGAAGTGGCAATGAGCCGGCCATATAGCTCGAAGAATCAACAACCAATGGGGAAGAAAGGTTCTTGAGTGGCAGCTTTGTACCGGTAGGCGAAGCGTAGGGTGGTCCCCTATTAGATATTACATAGACTGATGATCTGGTAAGACATGCGCTTATTCGCCTGCCAAGCGAAGCATTTATGGCAAATCATCAGTACTGTGTAGTAGTGGTGTAAGAATATACATTACGCCATATCGTCCCGTGGCTATCGTAGGATATGAGCATCAGCGTCTTCCTGATAACAAATAAAAATAAAAACTGCATTTATAACCCAACTGCTAAGCGTGGCCATTATGGCAAAATATATGGGGAAGCAGAGGTATCTATATTCAACAATAGACATTGATAGTCTGTAATGACGATGACGATGATGATTCGTAAAAAAGGAGAGGACCATTTTTAGAAGTGGACTTTTACGTGCTGATGGTAAAGAAGTATTGTGGTCTCAACAATAAATTATTGACTTGTTTATTTCCAAAAATAATCTCAAAAGAAGATATATTTATTAATGCTTTCTTTTATTTCCAGTTACTTTGGACTGTTTTCACTCATCAGTTCTACGGAGTCTCAATTTTCTGGTAAGTTTTTTTTTTCATTTTTTTCTTTATACTTACACCATTACCTTATTATCTTATGCAATTGATTTCAAATCTGTGTTCTACTACTATATGATCTTCCATTACACAATAATAAATATATCGAACTTAAAGAAGACATTCCCAGTATCTGAAATTTACAAAAAGTTCATATTGTACCATTTGTGATTTCCAACACATAATACCAAAAGACTTGCATCGTGACATATACATAGTTGTTAATAATTATGACACGATGCAACTAAAATAGTTAACGACGATATATACATATATATAGATAACAAAGCACGTTTCTCTCACTCTTTTAGTCCAATGGGATGGCATTCCGACACGATCCGAGAGAGATCAGGCGCAGGACCAATGTATTTACGTGCTATCCATAGAACGGGTGAAAAACACCGGTGTCTTCCTGACTCCGGGCTACTACAGAATTTTCTTGACAGAAAACCCAATACCTGATTTTTGGTCGAACCCGGGATTCAAACCCGGGACCTTCAGCTGCCGTGCTTACGAATACTAAATAAAGATGGCATTCAAATCAGTCTGTTTAGACCATCGATCACTAATAAAGGATCGATGGTTTAGACCCTCATATATGATATGAATACTACGACTAAACTAATACAAACGTTAGCTCTAAAGTCAAGGCAAAGGTTCAGTTTAATTTTATTATCTCAAACCTTGAGCCGCGTTCTAAAAGACTATAAGCAAATTTAGCATTTACAAATTACTGAATAGAAACTAGGCACGAAGCGCTCTGTATAAAAAGGTAATATAAAGGAAATTTAATGCAATAGCTTTAGTCATGCAAAATAACTAAATTTTTTGTGATTTGAATTTTAAATTGCTAAATTTACCCACGGGAATGCCTGATCAAATTACAGCTTACTTTGTTAGTTAGAACTCATTTTTTGTACTTGCGTTTGCATGTAAAGACCTACCGTGACCATCGTCATTAAGTTTTGATCAAGATTAGTAGAATCAGCTGCTGTTGGTGCCTCCAAACGCCTCGTTTGATGAAATAAATTTAATATTACATAATATGAAATCATAAAATTCAACTACAAAGTTCAATGCACTGTATCAAAAAATTTCACTTCGTTTATGTTTAGTTATATAATACATTTGAGATATTATTTAAATTATTTTTTCTCTTATGTACGAATGGTTCGACACAAATTAGTAAATAATACAAATTAAAGAAAAATTGAAATTTGGAAAATGGCTTGGATTAATTTAGTCACACGTCATTCATAACAACATAATATTATACTAAATTAGTTTAAGCAAGCGCTAGAAGCTATAGTAAATGAACCTACAGTGAAAAACGCCTTCACACACTCAACAGTTTTTTACCGCCGCTTTGACAAATGACATAAGAGGATCGCGTTAATAAAGAAATTTACAATTTTAAAACGAAATTTGTACCAGATTGTAGGATAAAATAGGCTTTAAAAATGTTAGTAGCATAAATGCTATACTATAACATTATGCATAAAATAATATTGAAAATATTTTATAATATACAATATTAAAAACTGAAGTAAAAAAAAAAACTAAAACTAGTAACTTAATTATCATACAGTCCTACTCCCCGCGGTATCGTGCCTAGAACGCTGGCTGCGTTTCATAGCTGAATGGCTACACTTAGCCTTAGAGCGAGAAAAGAACCAGGCCTCTTATCACCAGGAGTGGATGGACCCTCTTTAGGTAGTCTTCTCTCAGAGACTCATATTTGCGCCACTTACTCAGTTCAGCTACCTCTGATGCCGCCTCGGCTCTAAACGAGATCCCCCTGAGATGAGAATCCATCAAAGTGTCTACGCAATTAGCATCACACACTAGGGCTTTTCCTCTCTCCTAAGGGACCAATGTCATACCGTCGGGTCTCTTGCCATCGTCTCTAAATATTCCACAAGGCTCTAAAACCGAGGGAACATTTATGTGTGACAAGAGCTCATCGGATGACATCCCGTGAAAACCTACCAGCACTTTTCTTATATGAAAGTCCGTGGAGCCCAAACTTGTCGACGCTGCTACCACAGGGGCACTGATGAGGTTGACAAATTGTCGCTCCTAGTCAGATTCCTACGGCAATGCGCAACCTTACCCCATCAAGTAATTTGTCGAGATTTCTTGATGGTAAATCGTGTACTAGATGGTAATCAGTGACTAGATTCCTTGGTCGAAACACCTAGAAGGAGTGCTTTATCTTAGTCACTATAGAAATTATGAAACAAATGTTTCTGCGCATTCTGTACCAACGGTATATCCCACTGTTTTTGTTGGTTAACTTCCAGTGGAACATTTTCGCCGGGACAGAGCGTTTAACATGTTTGCCCTGCCATCGTAGCACAGGTTTACTTTATTACTTAAAATTAAGTTACATAAATCACTAACATTATGCACGGAAGCAATCAAAGCAGGTAATGCAACTGTTTTTTCTTGAGTCCAGGCTGTTGTATTTAAAGTTAAATTTACGATTTTTTCTATAGCTGTTTTAAGATTATTATCAATATCTTTTAAAATATCTGAACATTTCGAGAGTGATTTCGCGTTACCATCCGTACCATCTGGATAATTGGCGGTCCACCACTGTGCGATTTAGAATCTTTCTCCCTTGCACAACTTCCTTGTGGAATCAATTACTACCAGTGATTTTTACGGACCGATACGACTTAGTGACCTTCAAGAAAAGAGCCTACTCCTTTTTAAAAGGCCGGCAACGCATTTGCAATTCCCCTGGTGTTGCAGTTGTTCATGGGCGGCGGTAGTCACTTAACATCAGCCATCAGGTGAGCCGCATGCTCGTTTTCCCCCTCTTCTATATAAAAAAAGTTAAAAACTTTCCTTATCTTCTACATCAGAATTTATTAAAAATGTACGCAATTAATGTACCGCCGCCTCACTGCCACCTTTTGTGCTAAAACCCAGTTGAGTAGGCTGAAATTTTGTCTTAAGTTTAGAGATTATGTATATGCAAGCTAATTTTGAAGTTAAGCGTCGAAATATGGAACTAACGGCAATAGGGTGGATAACGTTATTTTTTTTTGATGGCACATAAGGCACATAACATTACCAGAAAGTATAACGTTACATCATTTTGTAATGTCATTAAGAAATACTCCACCGGCGTCACCGGCAAAAGCGCTTACAAGATCTTTAAGATGTTGAGGCGTAATTCCGTCAATGCCGCCAGCAGAGCCATTCGAAAATGACATACGAGTAATTGCTTCTAAAGTGTCTTTTTCAGAAATTTGTAAAGGTTGCATAGAAGTCTTGGGAGACAGCGGTAAACCTTGAGAAGTTTCAATACTTCTCAAGAATGTTTCTGACGAAGGCTTTCAAGAGTTTCGACATTACGAGGAGCCAGTATATCGTCTGAGAATAAAATACGAGATGAAATTTTAAAATCGCTATCCATTACTCTCGATATACATAACTACTTTTTTCAATCAAATTTACGAGATAAATGAGTATTAATTGGGTAATCTAAATTTTGAAAAGATGTCTCTCTTAGTTGAGACGTAATTCATTTATTTATTATTTTAGCACAATGGAAATGGGAATACGCGAAAGTTAATAATTTTTACCAACTCTTTTCACAAGTGAAAGAATTTTGAATAGTGCATAACAATTCTTTAGCATGTTGCATCCTCGCACCTCTAGGAATTCTTTTAACTACTGGTATATTACGATGATAATTGTTAATTTGCTCCGTAAAAAGGGAAAAAAATTGTGGCATTAGAGGAATTACTAATAGAGCCACGAATTTCTACGGTAGGCTGTGAAGCCGAAATACTTTTATTACGGCATCGTATAATATGTATATTTAATCCTCTTTTAATTTTAAACAGCCTACCGTCAGTGCAATTTTGACACTGTAGGAAATCCGGCTGTGAATTTAGCGGAGCGACAGATCTAGACAGATCTCTACAGCACTCAAAAGTATTTATATTACATAGCTTCATATCGACTTGAAATGTGCTGTACACCGCATCTTTCTCTGAAACACAATTATTTACGGTCTAAATAAAAGCACTTTACTCTAGAAATGAAATATTTTCACATTACTTCCCTGGATATATTCCATATTGATAAAAATTGTATGTAGTAGTTATGCTTGATAGTTGACAACGGCGCAGCAGAAATATTTTCCTTTATAAATGCCTGAAATCAAAAAATAATTATTATAATAACTTCTTTATATATACTGATCTTTTTGTTGATATATGTAAACCTGAATTGACCTCTAAATAACAAAATAAAATAAGTTAAATAAACGTAGCTCTTGACGGTTGAAAAATGTTGACTTATGTAAATATATTTGAATTTGTCTTTACATTTTTTTTATTTGCATATTCCAGATTATAATATTCTTCAAGATATCATTGATATAACTCCAACTGGGAATATAGACTTCACTTCTGGCTCAGACGGACATCCTGCTTACAAATTTGAAGAATCGAGCAATGTGTCAGCTGGGGTTGAATCTATTTCTCTACTTGACAAGACACTTTCCAGTCCGTTTATTATAAATATAATGTTTAAATTTGAAAAAGTTGAATACTCTTGCTTATTCGCAATAATGGACTCAAAGAAAGAAATAAAACTTAGACTGTGCTTAACACCAATAGCCCCAGACGCTGTAACAGTTGATATTGATGGCAGCAGTATAGCAGAGAGTCAAGTAAATTTTAATGTTTATGAAGATCTTATTACCAATTGGATAAATATTTTTCTGATATTTGAAGACAAACAGAACATATCTCTTTATGTCAAATGTGAACACATCGATTCGATTATGTTAGAAAAAGAAATGAAAGATATTTATTTCTCCAGTGATTCACAAATTTTTATTGGACAATCTGGAACGGAAAAGAAAGATCCTTTCAAGGTAAGAACCAAACTTTTTGACAAGATTTTTCATTTTGCTCCAGGGAACATATATTTGCAATGTTGATAAGCTGTAAAGTAGCTCAAAATCTTATTTTGTTCATTCTGCACCATCATTGTAGACCCCTCACAAGTCCACTGCTGAACATATGGGCCTCGATCCATATGTTTCTTAGCTTACTAGGTAGTCTCGTTATGGGGGGCAGTCCGTATACTCCGGTTATCACCACGATGCCGCCACTTGAGTATATTTCTTACCCATTGATTTGCTGTTGTTTTGTTTTATAGCCCTCATAAAATTGACAATTTCTACAATTATATTTGGTACCCCTTATATAAAAAAAATTGTCAGTACTCTAATCTAATTTTCATAAATAATGACGTTATCCGATTTTAAAAAAATAAAACGAAAGAGTAGTAAGTTATTGTTTCCTTGCGTTTACTCAGCAATGTAATGAGAACCAAAAAGCTTAATAATTTCGGTTATGTTTTTGTGCCTCTAATGTTCTTCTTGTCTTTTAATACGATAAATAAAATGTTTAAATGCGAAAGTTAAAAGTTCAGTGACAAGAAAATTGTATGTTTGGTTTTTCGCTTAGCTGTAATTTTTATAAAAATAATGGGGTTGTTATAAACTATTTTGCTTAATTCCGCGTAAAGAAATAAAATGATGTGTTCTGCCCAGTTTTATGGGACCTCCCACCCTCCCTTAAACACGCGCACTATACCCGTCGCCGTGAATCCCAGCACTATCATCCCCAGCACACAGGTACATCTCGAAGATTTAAATAAAGCAGCCCATCTTCCTGTGCCAATGTCTTTCCCATATCGCTGTAGTAAGTCCTATAATGTATCTTAAATAAAACGACCGAAAGGAATCCAGCTATTATAATAAATTATTTTGTTTCCATAAGATAAGGGCTCTATCATTAATTTTATACTCACAATGATTACAGTATTCCTTAGTAGTTATAAACACTGTTTCATATTTATTATGTTTATGAACAAATTTCTACTCTTTGATTGCTTGTATTCCTTTGTATTTGATTTCTTGGGCGCAGTATAATATATCTCAATATTCTACATGTAGGTTAAAATAGTCATAAATACGGGCTGGTGAAATTATATTGTTTGTTAATTTGGATATTTGTTAATTATTTTTAACTATGTGCTATTTTCGAGTGTTTTAGTGATATAAGAGATCGATTTGAAAGTATATAATTTAATTCTGACATACCAAATCAATTAAACATGTAAGTACCGGACGGATACATAGGGAGACGGCTACGGCAGCAATTACTGTTTGCCGTGTCGAACGGAAGGACAAACCTAAAGCGTCAGGGACCCTGATACTCGCTCTCTGCACACTTAATTTGATAGCGAGAGAAATAGACTTGTTTTGCTGTCCACTAAATTCAAAAAGCTAGCGATATACATTATATGTTATGTACCTAATTTAAAAAGATAATTGCGTATAATAATAGCACTTAGAATAGTTATAATAACAGCATATATAATAGTTATTACACTATTGTATTGGGATTACTTGTAAAGAATAGGGTGTAGTACAGAACATTTTAATTTACCGACAAGGGTCAGATAAACAATTTTACAATTTATTACATTATCTATTGATTATGTAATATAAACTCTGAGCATATGTAAGAAGAAAAAAATCTATTTAAACGTATTAACGTAATTGAATGAGCAGTTTTATCTCAAGAGTAGTTAATGCTTTCTGCTCAATGTTTATTGTACATAAATCTTTTTTGAAATATGACGATAACCAGGCGAGCTTGTCACGGCGAGAGTATAATAAAATATGTATAATAATAAAATACGTGTCTCCGCATGAGTAACTTTATGTTTGCAACTATTTACAGCTATATGCGACATTCCGCGTTCGTTGGCTGCATCCTATTCTCGACATATTCTATTATCCGATTAACGTTGGTTACAAACTTTTGTAACACAAAAATTTATAAAGAACATTTTATCATAAAACAAGTACATATTTTAACTTAGATTTTGCAGATATGATTAGATATAGGTTGGCTGGTAGGGAATAACTAAATGTGTTAAGTCCGCCCTTTTTAATTTTTGATAATAGTAAATGAAATAAAGAATAAATTATTAAAAATAAATACAATAAATAACATCTTTATAGTAACAATAATTATCCGAAATTAATGAACCTGTCTTTAAGACTTGAAAGATTTTTTTTTAATGACATGACTAGGTAGGACTGATAATCGTATGTACCATATTATAGTAATGGTCTAAGTCAGCGACAGACTTACGGTATTTCAATTAGTTTCACGTTTTTTTTTTCAGTTAATACCCAATACCTGAGGTACATGAATTGAGGACTCTTTAGTTTGACCGGCGGTTGATATAGAGACGCTCAGATGTGAAAGGTGTAAAAAAATGACCGAAAAATAACATTGACAGACACCTACGGCGGACCCAAGGTCATGGCAGATAGGTGCAATTTTAGTAGTTAGTTACAAGTACAATTTTTTGTTTATAATTTACGTTATTTCAATAAAACTGCAATTTATATAGGTACGTCGTTGATAATATTGACATATATATTTTTCATGGCAGACATATATTGAGACCCTATCACTCAAGCAAACAATAAAATTCCATAAGTGCGTACTCGCTCTAATCCAGTCTCCACCTGAGCGTATCTGTATCGACCGCCGATCAAATTAAAGAGTCCCGTTTCATGTACCTCAGGTATAGGGGATAAACTGAAAAAAAAAATGTGAAGCTTATTAAAATGCCCTGTCTGCCGCTCACTGGCTCTTAAACTATAATACTAATAATAGTAATGTGGCTACGCAAGCGTTACGACGCGACATCGCGAAATTATATGTCACTGCACAGTTAAATTAGTAGGCAACTCGCAGAAGTTCGGATTTCGCATAACACGAGTACATTAAATTCTACGATGTGAATGGGTTTGTATTAATTTTCTAAAGTAACTTTGTTAATTCCATATACGATCCTATTTAGATATTCTGACCTTGTTTTGTGTGCGCTTAGTACTTTTTATATTTGCCTTTGTACGAAATAACTAGGTGGCTTGTGACTGTTTAAAAAAATTAGAACTTTTGAATAGATTTTGAAATTGCAAACTTAAATTGATGCTTATATTTCGATGCTCACACAGCTTTAAAATTTACGTTTGTTTAAATATAAGCAATTAAATAAAATAGATTATGATCCGTAAGTTAACATTTTTAAAAATATAATTTTTAAATAGCTTAGGTTATATTTTAAATTGATGCTTATAATACAGATGCTTACACATTATACACCAAATAGCTTAGTAGTTTCAGAGACATACAAACAACGGAACACAACAAAACAACAACAAAAAAAAACACACACACACACACAACACAGTTTTACAAGTTTAGTAAAATATAATATATAAATTTATTATTTGACTCTTATAATGCAAATGCTTACACAATATACACATTACTGTTTTAGATAAAATAAGAAAATTAGTAAGTACGCGAAAAAGACCTTATTATTTGTAAGTGGTTAATACAGCCTATGGATACATGAAACCGACTTCAAACAAAGAAGTCTGTGAGGATCAGGATGGAACTCCTAACAGGCTGTAGTTAACCGCCCCATACCTTTCAGACCAAAATTCATTCTTGTAGGTACTGTTTTTGCAGCAGAATTAGGTAAAGGGTGGTAAACTTCTATACAAAAAAGGAGTCCTACCACCTAGGATTTGTAATTTTGAAATTGATTATTTATTTATACTATAATAATATACAAGAAATCTTGTTATAAAATATTTAATCTATATCTTTTTTTCCGCCAATGTAATTTTTTTAAATGTCAACCAATGTTTTAAGTTGAACATATATTTCTATTTCTTCTGTATTGTTCCAGTAGTTTTTTAGTTATAAGCCTGTTTTTTCGTATTTTATGCGCTGCCATAACATTTATTAGATTGCAGTAAGACTTTGTCATCTTATTGTTTGCACTTGCGCGAAGGTTATAGGCATAGTACAATTAACTTACAGTAGGTGACGCGCGTATCATACCGAGAAATTTATGTGAAAGTTATAATATATCATTTAAAATCAATGAATGTATTATCATTTCTCATTAAACAATATAACTATTCTAAATTTACAATGATATTTCCGTAATTATTTCTTCTGCGGCAGCAACGCGCCGGGTACCAGTACATTATGCAATACATCTTTCGGCGTATGAAATCGAGGGCATAACTACTCCATAATGTAAATTTTTATCGCATTGTAAGTCATAGTCGCTCCCAATAGTTCCAATTATAGCTACTTTACGGTTTGTATTTTAATATTCATGGTATTTTCTGCATTTGTAACGCAATTTCATTGACTTTGGTTTTTTAGCGGTTGTTTTATTTAACGTAAATGTATGGGACATTAAGGCCAACTACTGGATTTTCACCTATATCGTGGAGGCGTTTTACGTACATAACTTGCACATGCACAAACATTCAGATCAGGAATAATTACATTTAGGCCATGCTTTTTTTGTGCGGGATTCAAACCCGCGACTCACAACACTGCAGTCAAACGCTTAGCCACTGCGCTATGGAGCCGTGAAAACAATTATAATTAAACATACTCTCAAACTTAGTATGTTATTACTAAGCAGTAGGACTGCTAACCTGCCCAGGACTCCGGGGTACTTACCCTCTCACCTATTTCTAACGGCAAATAGCAGTACTTTCACTGCTGTGAGGCATTTCATCTTAGCTCTCGGAGGTGAAAACGCGTCTTCTTTAGCTGCCGGTGTCCTTGGACTTAAATGGCCTCTTACTATCAGGTGGGATGTGAATTCGTTTGTAACCTAAGTTTTATACAAAAAAATATATTTCTGTATCTTATATTTTAAAGTAAAGTAACAGCCTATAACGTCCCACTCCTGATATATTTATTCTGGGCACAGGCCTCTTCTCGCTTCTGAGAGTCCGCCGCGCTACACTGCAGGTGATAAATCAGCACTTAAAATTGCAATTATAATTTTCATTGGTACCGGCGGAATTCGAACCCTGGTTGCTCGCGTACTGTGAAATTTACAGCGAACGCTTATCCCCTAACCTACCTCTTTAGCAGAATAGTATTAATATTTAAAATATTGTATTGTTATTTAGTAACAATTTCAATGGCAGTTAGCGTTCGAACTTGTGTAATAAGTGCGGTATTATTTAGCTATCGTTGTATTACAAAGCTGGAAGTAAAGCCCGCTAAATAGCATTTCATACCTAACAAACAAGCGCTAATGTGTTCTAGCCCCGATATTAAATCAGCCGTTATGAGTTCATTAAGCTAACGCCCCGCTATGTTTTCGTACTAGAATGTAACACGTGCTGCAAAATTATTGTTTATACAATTTTGGTTGCGCTTGGTTCAATGTAGGTAATATCTGTTAATTATATTATTTATGTAGTATTATAATTTCATTAAATTTTTGAAAGACTTTTTTTTTGCTTGTATTATAATATACGAGGCTGCCACTCAAGAACTTACCCATCATTGTCGGTTTTCAAGTAGTAGCCTTGTGATGATGAAGATGGAGTTACGACCCGATAAAAGAGGCATTGTGCTATGTTCAGGTGAAGGGCTCTAATGATGATGAAATTAGTGATTATTTTGGTGTAACTTTTAAGTCAAATTTCTACAACATATCTTTTGTTTTAGTACAACATTTATTTTATTTAGTTTTAAACAACTTAAGAGAAGGAATTCAATGTTCTTTGTTCATCGTTTAGTCATAGCTTTTTTCGAATTTTTCATAATTTTCAAAATCATAAATTAACAGCCACTCGTAGATTAGGTAAATTACTAGATAGTTTGTGCATAAGTCTGTTACCGATAAATTCTTTAACTCGGTATAATTTCTTGTAAATTTACAAGAATTTAAATAATTGTACAAATTGTGTTCAAGTTTTTACAAACTCGTGAGGGAAGATTGTTTATTTAAATTCCAGTTCATGTTCACTCTTCTCTTTTTGAAGGTTTATTCCACAGATAAGAGTTGGTGATTCAAAGTTTAGTAGCGTCCATTAAGTAAAGTTTTATATCGTTATAATATACGACCTTTATATTAGATTTATTTTCTTCGAGTACGGGAATGTAGTTCCCGGTTTAAGTTCCTCTGAATTATTTATAAAGTATTTTCTTGTGTTAGATTAGGCAGGACTCCATTAATTTCTTTCTAGTAACCCGTCTGAGTGGGCACAACTTTTGCCGACAAAGACATTGCTTGCACTGCCGGCTCCGTGTCGCAGTCGCTTAGCAGTTGCAGCGTTAAGGGCCGCGGGTTCGAATCCCGCACGGACCAAGTATTTATATGTCCTACAAATAATTGTTCCGGGTCTGGATGTTTGTCCTTGTAACATTTATGTATGTAAACTGCCCCTACTATACAGGAGAAAATCCTAGTGTGGAGGTAATGTATTTTTTAAAAAGAGAAAGAGAGAGAATAACTACTATAATTCGCTCTGTAGCGTATAGAGATCCAGTATAGTTACAGGTTTTTAGGCATTCCATCTTAGTTCACAGGTGTAACAACGCATCTGTAGCTTTCTTTGTCTACAGGTATCCAAGGACTGAAGTAGCCACTTTCTACAGGAGCGTAGTTCGTTTGTCACTTCGGCTGTATTAAATAAATCTTATGTAAGGCTATTTTCCGCAAGATAAAAAAAAACTTTAAGGAACACAAAAAACAATAAAAATACAAGCAATTATTAGTGTGTTGCCGACCAAATTAATGTATATTTTATTCAACTGAGCTTCGAATTAAGCACCTACGACTGAGCAAGCTAGTTTACCTACTTATATATTAATAGTGTCAGAGAACGAGAAAAAGTCTATTTAAGAAGCAAAACATGTACCGTCTTATAACAAAAAGTATAATAAGTAGTTTTAGGTTTAATCTGGAGTCTGTTTCAATTAAGAAGCCCAATGGAAAATATGCGCACTAATATGTAAAATATGGAATTTGGCAGCAAATGTAAAATTTACCGAAGTTTGTAGCGCCACGGCTAAGGGACTTCTTTCGCAACCAATTAGCCACGTTTTGTAATAAGACTTCATGTAATATTAATGGAATGTTATTGTTTTTATAAAAATAATAATATATGTTAATAAGCACAATGCAATTATTTAATAAAATAGAATGGGGGTGACAAACGAGCACACACACAGACATTTACATTTATCCTCGATTAAGAAATGAAAATCAGATTTGTAATCTACCCCTGAGGGCTAAGATGGAATGCCTAGTTTCCAGTAAAAAGTATCTCCGGCTCTCTACACTCACCACACTAAACACTGCAGCATGAAGCAGCTTTATTACGCTGGTATTTTGTGAGCGCCATCTTCCCCGGTTGAGTTAACCCATTCATGCTACAACCATTAAATAGTTGCAGCTTTGCTCTACCACGTAAAAATTATTAATCAAGAAAGAAAAACACACTATTTAGCTACTATCACGTTTGTTTACAAATTACGAACATGTGTATGTATATGTATAAACCAAATATTATTCTTATTTATTGTTAAATTATTTAACTTTTACCCGACTGCCCCATAAGGAGGGTAATGTTTTTTGAGTCTATTGTTGTATGTATTTTTCTTTTATATTCAGAAGAAACAGTGTTGGTGATAGCACGCAGCTTTGTGGAACACCAGCGTCAATAGGCTTGTAATCGGAGCATGCACCGTCTATTATGACCTTGATGCTCCGATCAGCCAGAAACCTGGTGATCAAATTACATAATTTCTCGGAAAGCCCATAGGATTGAAGCTTCGCAAGAAGCGCTTTGTGCCAGACCGGTAAACAAGAACCACCGGTAAATGAGATAACCACCTGACCACGAAAGAAACCATACTGGCGGTCACTAATCAGCTGGTGCTCCTCAAGTTACCGCATGATCTGGCAGTTAATGGACTCCATCATTTTTCTCCATCAGTTACATTTTTAAGGGATCGGGTGCGCGAAAGCTGTCTTCCGTATATTCGACACAACGCCTAGGGAGTAGGAGTACCGGAAAAGACGCGTTAGAACCGATGCAAACTCTTGAGCGCATGTCCTCAGCGCAATTGGCAAGATTCCGTCAGGCCCACTCGACTTGTGGATGTTCAGGGAGAGAAGTGCTTTGCGTACTTATCACTGTGTGAATTGCACATCAAGCATAGAGCACTCACACTGCGGGACAGTCGGCGGTGTGTTCCTCCCTTCATCGAGAGTAGAGTTGTATGCAAAACGGGAGCCTAATAGGTCGGCTTTCTGTTTTGTGGCGTGGGCCAGTGAGTCGTCCTCCGTTCTCGTTCCCGAAGGAAGGCGAACTAATTACTCGTCAATTCTGCCAATGTGCTCATAATTTGCCTTGGCAATAACTCTTTTGAAGGACCTGGAGGCGAAGTTTTACTTCTTTTTAAGCATGCTGATGTTTACATCCCGAGCCGCCGAAGCCTCAGCCCAGGCCTGATAATACTCTGTGCCTACTGCATAATGCAGTCTTACAAAAGCGACCAACCCAAGGCTGAGATCTGCATCTGATGGGTACCACAGATGATGGAATAAACAGTTCCATTGTATGTAGCACCACATCAGTGACAGAGTCAGCAACAGCGCTGGGATCGGTCCACGAGAAACAAACCCACCTCCATGGGTAAGGTGCAAAGAAAAACCGCATTCCGTCCCAATCCGCCGACCTGTAATGCCAAACGTGGCGGCAGCCTGCAGAACGCAACCGCGAATGGAAGCGTGAGTGGCTCCGGATCAGACATTGGTCCGAAGACCCGAGAGGGGCATCGACGGAAACCTGATATCCGTCCAGATGAGAGGTCAACAGAATGTCCAACAGAGAAGTCATCGCTGTCTATGCGCAGCCAAAGAATGGACAGGTCCGTACCTTCCAGACCGCCGAGGCGTTGAGAACAGGTATCCTCTCTGACGTATACGCATACTCCATCCCGAAGCACAAAAATGTCTTCTAATTTGTACCGCGAGTAGGACAGGTACGAATTATCAGCCGGAGAGATCTTTACGAATAATTATATAATCTCTTCACACATAAATATGGCTAGAAACCCACGTGATTTACCATTTATAATATTTCATTTTCAAATGTTTTGATAAATTTTTACCTTTTTCAGGGGGCCATTCAAAAACTGGTCATATACCTGGATTCAGATACAGAGAAATTGAATACTTTATGCAGAGACGTAAGTTTACTAGGTATATTATGTGTTTTCAAATGAAATATACAAGAATATTTAAAAGGGTACTTTATATTATAATATATCTAATAACTAGCGCAAATTTTATTGCAAATTTTCATCTTAATTTTAAAATGTATAATATTACATAATAAATTAATTATCAAATAGATAAATAAAGTTCATGTCTCAAGTTTCAAAATTTAATTTCAGGATATTTTTATACCCGACAGTGTAAGTTTTGTTAATATTATATTTAGAGCTCTTCCTAAACTGAAATATAAGCTATGGCTAAAAGTCTCTAATCACTGTATTAAAACAACATATTTCTATATTTAAGTAGTATATTTGGCATATTATTATATATTTAATTATTTTCTATAAAATAATACTGCACAGCGTAGATCACGATATTTTGATAAGAATCGAAAATAAACCTTAAAAAGCCATAATCTTTTTAATCTTACTGATTTTTAAAAGATGCTATTAAAGCGATAAACAAAAGTTTATATTATATTATAGGCATCAGATGACTTTTTACATTTTTATATTATAGTTGATTTTGTTATTAACGTATACTGTTGAGGCACGTAGTGAATTGCAGTTTATTTTCGATTGAACGAAAATATTTCTTATGCACTTGTAATTAACAATCTTTTAATTTTTCTTCCATAGATTGATGGTTACTCGGAATCTGAGGATGTTCGTGTATGTACATAGAACTCTTTTTTTGATTTTATATATTTGAACTTTTTTAGTTGAAAAAAATATACGAAAAGTAACTTTTATTATAGTATAGTAGCTATGCATTTGTACTTGTTTAGTGGCTGCTTTTCATGTTTATATTTCTGCTTTGTTTTTACTCTTTTTATTACTAACATATTTTAGTTTAATTAAATTGATAAGTTGTTGTAGTTCATTCATTTAATTACAACATAAATTTTATTTAAATTGCAGCTTAAAGGTGATTTGACATCACCACCCGGTAAGTTTTATTTTTCTCTTTTTTATATTATATTAAATTATCTAAAATGTCCCAAATAATTATAATAATATTTGCAGAATCTTTCCTAAATAGTGACACAGTTGAAAAGGGTGAAAAAGGTGACAGAGGTGAAAAGGGCGACATAGGTGCGCAAGGTAAAAGTGGGATAGCTGGTGAACCAGGGGAAAAAGGCGACAAAGGTGACAAGGTTAGCGAGTTTAAAGCAATGTTTTGTTACATTAGAAACTAAAATATAGTGTCCAGTGGGATAGCAGGTGAACCAGGGGAAAAAGGTGACAAAGGTGACAAGGTTAGCGAGTTTAAAGTTTTTTTTTATAGGATAAGGGTGACAAATGAGCACACTGTCCACCTGATGGTAAGTGGTTGCTGTGGTCCATAGACATCTACATCTGTGTTGTATTACGAATCAAAATGCAGATACGTTGTCACCAGTGAGGACTAAGATGGAATGTCTCGTTTCGAGTAAAAAGGGTCTCCGGTTCTCTACACTCACCATACGAAACACAGCAGCGTTAAGCTGCTATTTTACGCTGGTATTCTGTGAGAGCGTAGTCCTTCCCCGGTCGAGCCGACCCATTCGTGCTACAACTATACTATTAATATAGCTGAAGCATGGCTCTACTACGTAAGTTTAAAGTAATGTTTTTGTTACATTAGAAAATTAAATATAGTGTCCACGAAAGCAGAAATATAAGTTTCTATCTAATAATTTATAGGGAGAAAAAGGGGACTTCATCAAAGGACCGCAAGGAGCTCAGGGTCCAATAGGACCACAAGGTCCAATTGGTTTACCTGGCCGTAAAGGAGAGGAAGGAGTAAGGATCTTAATTGTTTTATTTATTTAAATAGTCTTTATATGTATGCTATATTTGGTAGTTAGACCTTATATGTAATTAAATAAGTAAAAGTAGTTTAGATAGTAATCAGGTAGTATTTAAAAAGTCATTTAATTAAAAAAATATTAGTCTAACTTTATATTAAATATGTAACGTTCGCAGTGATATTGAAATTTTATTTTCTATTTTTATTAACTCTTAACAAACGGTAGTCAAATACTAATATAGATTGATATTTGTACATTTTTTTTTTCAAGAAACTATATTTGACATGCAGTGCTATATTACAGATATGTCGCTGTTCGGAATCTGTGATATCAAGTATTATTAAAAAAATGCCAGAAACGAAGGGACCACCCGGTGAACCTGGACCTAGAGGAGCAGACGGTGACATCGGCATTCCAGGAAAGACGGTAAGTAGATACTTCATCATTATCATTTCAGACTTTTACAAGTCCAATGCTGAAAATAGTCCATCCCCAAGAAATGACACAAAGTAAGGTCCTTGACCACCTGCATCCATCGACTCAACACCGTGATTTTTGGCCTATGTTCAGCACGACAATGAATGAATAAATGAAATTATTTTTTATTATTTATTAAAATAAAAACATAAATGTAAGATATAGATAACTGGAAGTAAAAAGAAATTACAAACAGGGGTTACCTGGAATGCAAGGTGAGAGAGGTCCAATGGGTCTTAAAGGAGATAAAGGTGAACGAGGGGAAGATGGGCGTTCAGGATATGACGGTGCACCAGGGCTCAAAGGAGAGCCAGGTATAGATGGTGCTCCTGGACCGGCGGGACCACGAGGTGAAACTGGATTACCTGGTCCACCAGGACTGGCTTGTGAGGTGGGTATAATATTGAAATAAATGTTATCTGTATACTAAGTTTTGTTCATTTTAAACAAATGTATGTTAATTTGTATTATTTCTTCATAAACAGTGAACGCTTCACATTAACTATAAACAATTGAGTTATATGTACTACGTTCTAGAGAAGCTATTCCAAACAAAAATTGTGCGCTACTCTATGTCTTCGCGCATGCACGGGAGATAGTAGAGTCAGGTATGCGCGAAGATTTTAATTTAATATAATATAAGATATAAATATAAAATAAATATAAGAATTTAATATAAAATAGTCTTATTTTATTCTAAATATATATATTTCTAAATAAAATGTAATAATAATTACCTTATGGAATTTACAAATTTTCAATTTACGCAATATTTAGTTTAGTATACGTATTGTAGTAAAGTTCAGTAGAACATAGTCAATGTTCGGAATGCGAAACCTAGTGCGTAGTAGACATATGTATATTATATCGACGCTATAAATAAAATCATGGTTAATTTTCCTAATAGTAATAATAATGTAGAGTTCATTGACTATATTTCGATTATGGCGGCCAGTTTTAACGGATACGAGTCAATTCTGAAAACGGGACTATAGTGCATAGGTATAATCTTTGTTCCTTTACTCTCATAGTTCGATGATACGGCAATTCGATAAAAGATTTTAGGCGTGGGACAAACGGTTTTACATACTTTTCTGAGGCTCGTGGTCGAAAAACTGCCACCTTACTATCTCCGTGCTGGTATGAAAAATGTCTTAACGAAAAAACTTTGCTGATAACTAATTTTTGGCCCAACCCGGATTTTTATTCCATGTATTGAGAGGGCACACGAGCATGTGGCTCACCTGATAGTAAGTAACTACCGCCATCCATGACCAACTGTACCAGGGATATTGCAGGAAAATTGCCGGCCTTTTTAAAAACGTAGGCCATATTCCGTTTCCATTTTTGTCCGGAAAAATTGCTGCTGGTAGTCGATTCCACAATTGTGCGAGGATGAAAACTTCTAGTAAATCACACAGTGTGGATCGCCAACCATTCAGCTGGTATGGATAGTATCCCGAATTTTATCGCGATATGCAATGGTGAATTAGTCCGAACAATTTCTCAGGGCACCACCCCGAGGTAGATGTATATGCAAAAGATGAATATGTAAAGAGATGAAACAGCTAATCAGAAAGAACTAGATCGTTGACAATTCGAGCCTGGTTGCTTTGGAATACCGAGTCGAGTTTATGTATGTATCTTTGTATAGTTCTTTAGCACGCACAGTAGCCTAACGGATTTTACATATGGCGTGTCATTAAATTTTTTTAGCTGTGAAAGTGTAGGGTATAATTTAATCATGTTTCTTAAATTGTGTTAGGCTTCTTAGACATTGTATTTACCAGAATACTACACATTAAACAAAACTAATTTTATGGCTACGGCGGCGGTTAATTTATGCTGCCGCTGAAATGACTATAAGCATACTTAGTGTTAGGATATTATAATATTTAATATTTTTTGATCAGTTGTTTTTTTTTATAGAATAAGGATAACAAACGAGCACACAGACGACCTGATGGTAAGTGGTTGCTGTGACTCATAGACATCTACATTTATCCTCAATAAAGAATCAAAATGCAGATGCTTCGTTACCCGTGAGGGCTAAGATGGAATACCTCTTTTCCAGTAAAAAGGGTCTCCGGTTCTCTACACTCACCATACGAAACACAGCAGTATCAAGCTGCCATTTTACGCTGGTATACTGTGAAAGCGTGGTCCTTCCCTAGTCGAACCGACCCATTCGTGCTACAACTATACTACTAATATAGCTGCAGCATGGCTACACCACGTACAGTTGTCATAGATCTCCCCTATAAATTGTAAAGTGTTGTTCTAGGCTACTTTTTGTAACTGGTTTTTTGGGTTTTGACGTTTACTCTGTTTCTGCTTAGTGTATTCTCTCTACTGATCTATCACATAGAACACACATATATTTGCCCGTATAGCATAACATAGTTCCCAGCAGATCTTTAATATTGGCAATATTAATCATTATTTATACACATAATATTCAAGATATTTAAGATCACATAATTTTCAAATTATATTTTAAAAGTAAGTATTATTTTAATATGCAGCGAGAAGAAGAACCAGAAAAGGTGCCAGTTGTAGGCGAAAAGGGTGAGGTTGGACCGATTGGACCACCAGGACCACCAGGACTGAGAGGTGAAAAAGGAGAAAAGGGTGAAATAGGAGAACGTGGATTAACAGGAGAAAAAGGTGAACGGGTACGGTGTGCATTCAAATTAAATGAATCATTTTTTAATTTAGAAATTTTTACTACTTTCAACCAACAAGTCTAATATTATTTTTCAATCGGTTTACTAAACCGGTAATTAAACTTTATAAACTATAGTACTTTTAGGACTTTATTTTAAGATTTTTTGAATTGAATTACCCCAATGTTCAAATAGATTTTTTACATTCATCGTTACTTAACGAAATAAAGTTCAGTGCTGAAACCAGACCTACCTTGCTTTGAAGATTTCCACAACACGGTTCTGAACCCAACTGCATTCATTGACTTAACGCGTCATTCACAAAACAATCTTTTGTAAATATCCTTATTATGTAATCAAGTAAAGAAGGATATCTTTACTCGTACTTCTGTTAGTGACGTGGTCACTAGAAAGATGCATTGACTATATAAAACGTGTTTTTGATACCGTTATTATGCAAATTTCTCCAAAATCCCTCATTAACTTCCTTTTCTTTTCTGCAGGGGCACGATGGTCCGCAAGGTCCACGAGGAGAAAAAGGAGAAACTGGAAGTCCTGGCTTGAACGGAACACCAGGAGTACCAGGGACTCATGGCAGACCTGCAGAGAAGGGAGACAAAGGTGAATTTAAAATATATATTTCAAAAGTTATAAAAATATATTTTAAAACATAACGACACTTTATTTTAATGGAAAATAAAGAAATATAAAAATACATTAATATAGGTCACCATCACGAAGAACGACTTATACTCACTCTAAATTTATTTCTACAGCAGCTTTTAGTTTCAAAATATATCCTTCCCCTTCTCGTTATCAATTATCAAACAGTCCACTGCTGCGTAATTGCTGCACATTAGCCTTTTAATTTTAACTTATAAAATAATAAGATTAGGTTAGGATAATAAAAAAAGAAGCGTCGATTTTTGGATGAAAGTCTTACAAAGTCAGAAAGTTTATGTAATATATCTGTGGAATGTATAAAAAGAAAAGTTAAAGTTAGTGTTAAAATTTTCAAGAAATTTTAGTGAGCAGTGTCAGTGGAACAGGTCATATACGGTACATCCAGTTTCGCAAACCGATTATTTCTGTTTTGTAAAAAATGTTGGCTCCTGTAATCGATGCTAACAAGCCAGTATAAGCTACTATTAAGTAGGGTACGGTAATCGATTTAAAATTAAAATTAAGTCCAAAATAATATAATCTATACAAATAAATAAAATTGTAGTGTCCGTTTGTAATGTCAAAATGACAACTTTTTACTAAATGCTACTACTTTCATAAAGTACATACGGTACCTATAACAAACATACAGTTTTTAAATTTTTTTCTGTCTGTCTGGCTGTTTGTTCAAGCTAATCTCCAAAATGGCTGGACCGATTATGACGGGACATTTACTGGCAGGTAGCTGATATTATATGGAGTAACTTAGGCTAATTTTATTAAAATTAATATTATAATATATTAAAATAATCAGAGTTCGGCGCGAAAACATTCAAACACACGAAATCCAATCGCAATAAATTCTATGTCGATGAAATTGCGGGGAACAGCTAGTATCAATTATTAAACAAAAAGGTAAATACGTAAAAAAAATTTAAGAGTTTACGAACGTGAAACGGTTTACTCAATATTATTTTGATTAGTCCTATGTTATTTATATAAGGCTGATTAATATAATGCACACAACAAACGTTGAGTTCTCTTTAATTTGTATCGTTAACATAATAACAGCATAGGAACAGAATGTTAGTCACAAGTTTAGTGGATCATAAAATATTTAATAAGTACAAACAAACAAGTGACTCACAGGCAGGCATATTATTGATTTTTTTATTTAATGATGTTAATTTGGTTTTAATGGTTTTTTAATAATTTTAATTTAATATAATACAATTTTATTTTAATTTTATTTATTTGTAAAAAAATAAATTCCATTTCAAATGTACTACTGTAACTATGATCTAATAAATACTAATAATAATTATAATTATTAATAATATAATATAGTCAGGAATATATTTTTTTCAGGTGATCCTGGTGAAAAGGGTGAAATAGGTCTACCTGGCATACCAGCAAAACTTTCTTCCTTATTAGATGATGATATGGACGTTACTGAAAGTAATTAAATTTTTAATTACAATTTCATAGCTATTATGTAAAAATAAAATTAATTGAAGCTTAAATTAAAATAGATAAAATTACATATACTATTGTTACTAAAAATGTCGTGACAGTTGTTTTTAACAGTCCCTTTTTACTGGCAACGAGGTATTCCTTCTAAGTCCAGAGGGATGACAACGCATCTACATATTAATTCTTAATCGAAGACATAATATGCAGATGCATATGGGCCAGAGCATTCTATTAACACATACTGTATAATGTTCAGGATAAGTGTTGTCATGCTTTTAATTAAAATGACCAAAGACTACAAATAATTATTGTTACAAAATAACTTGCTTAAAAAAATTATTTTGATACGATTTTAAAATAAACAGAAAAAAATACGAAGAAATATCCGGAATTTTGAAATTTGTGCTTTATTTTACATTTTATTGTTTTCAACTCTATTGCAAATAACACTCACATGTACGTATTTAAATTTCATCTACAAGAATTATTTTGATTGTTAATCTATGAAAATGATTGTGATCTATTACTTTTCATAAGCATAGTATGATTGTATAACTATTTGTTTTCAGACACCATGTTAGTTGAAAAATTAAGGGGATTTAAAGGAGAAGTGGGAAAGACGGGCGAAAAGGTACTTTAAGTGGAATGTATTTTGATTGCAGAATATTATACATACACAAATATAGATAATTAAAGTTACAAATTTCGCATTTAATTTTTATCACCATTTGATTTTAAGGGTGATAAAGGAGACAAGGGAGACATAGGTCCTTTAGGTACACCTGGCATAGAAGGTCGGCAAGGTCATCCAGGAGAAAAGGGTAATCCAGGTGAAAAAGGCAATGTTGGTGCCATGGGACCAAAAGGTTTTAAGGGAGAAAAGGGTGAAATTGGACCGCCTGGAACGGTATCTCAGTCTACCTTAAACCGTATGAAGGTACTAATAAAAATCTGTTTACATTTTGATGTTAAAAGGTTTGAAGCAGCCGTCCATGAAACTGTCTTGTATGGTTTTAGGGTCCCAAAGGTGACCGAGGGCCAATAGGAAAGAGTGGGCCCCGTGGAGCACCTGGGCACAATGGAAAAAGAGGTCCTATTGGTTTACCAGGTCAAAAAGGTGAAAAGGGTGTTGTCGGTGCTCCAGGAGCTCTGGTAACTAATATAATAATACAATATAATGTTTTATTTATTTCTCACCACAAATGACAAGGTTATATTATATACTTAGTCAGGTCATAAGTTCTGTCAAAAGCTTTTTATAAAATTAATGATACACTTTGATAATTATATAGAAATTATATATGAATTGAAACTTGATTTTATTAAGAATACAATTTTATTTACATTATTTAAAATGCCCTCCCCTATTTCATACCCTTAATCGAGTCGGTCAATCATCAATCGCAGCACGCAACACATTCATATCTATTTCTGCCTCTGCTTTAGCCAAAGATGCTCGGAAAGATTCCAAATTCTAATGATGCATAGCGCAGACTTTCTCCTCCAAATGTTGCCATATCTTGTAATCCAGTGTGTTTAAATCTGGACTAGAAGAGGGCCAGTCTTCATGTCCGATAAAGTCAATTCCACGGGCGGTCAACCAGTTCTGCGTGCTTCGTGCCCTATGAGCTGGTGCAGAGTCCTGTTGGAATATCCAATGTCTGTTATTGAAGGTTTTTGAGAAAGAGATTCCGTCATGTTTGTTTAGACGGTATTTACACCTCGCCTTGCCACTGGTTTTTACACGTTTTTCACAGAAAAACACCTCAGTTAAGCCTGAATATGAGACTCCAAGCCAAACCATGAGTCACGAAGCATAATGTCCTCGTTGAACCCTCGAAATACGCGTGCTTGCTTCTTCACTGCTGTGGGCATACACCTTATCATTTGGTTTATTATAACTTTCTTCGATGTCAAAATTTTTTTCATCCGAAAACAAAATTTCACGGTATTTTTTTCTCGCGTACCACCGTAATTAAGCGCGCGATCTATCCAGCCTAAGTTTTTTTCAAACGCTCGTTCAAAAAATTTTCGGTCTCCTTACGATAAGCACGTAGTCCTAGGTCTTCATTGATCACTGTTTTGACCGTAGTTCTGCTTAGGCCCATCTGAACAGCTAAGATTTTTTGGTTACGAAATGGATTTGGTTGGATTCGCGCCTTCATTGCTTTGATGATCGCGGGTGTCCTAACTGTACGAGGTCGGCCGGTCCTCGTACGATCTTCGAAGCTTGAATCTTCAGTGAATCGTTTGATAGTGCGATAAACAAATCGTAGGGTTATTTTCAATTTTTGTAGAATATTGAAAATCTCTTTTGGCGCGTAACCACAGCGATGCAACGCGATAACCGCTACTCTGTCTTCTTTCTTGGATCACTCCATATTTGAAAATTAATGTAAATAATTTTTTTTAATTTTCCGCAAGCGCAAACATTATTTTTTTAAATTTGTGAAATTCATCTAGCTAGTATTCAAAAATTTTAAATAATAAGGTTTTGGCCACCCCACCCCGAATTTACTAGACACTTATTATAATATACATATATGACGGTCTTGTTGTTCTAGTGGTAGTAAAACCCAGGAAGGCTAAAGAAATCGCTTATTGAGTTTTTCCGCCAAGAAATTCTTAGTAGCCCGGAGTCAGGAAGTTCGCGGTGTCTCACCCCCGTGCCTTCGAAAACACGTAAAGCCGTTGGTACTGCGCCTGATCTCTCGGTCGTGTCAGATTACCATTCAATCGGACCATGAGGTTGAGGGAATAGACAGTACACGACACTTTCTTGCTGTCGCACGGATGGGCTAGCTCGAACCGGGGTGGTACCACGACCTCACATAATACCAGCGTGAAGCGATTGGTGAGTGCAGGTGGCCGGAGGCCAAATTTCCCCCCCCCCCCCACTCAACATGGTAGTGGAATTAAATAAAAGACCATCTAGAGACGGCAAAGCCGGCCTTCCTCTTTTTAACCGAGACTCAGGTGTCATCTCCGGCTGATACTTCATATCTCTCCTACCCGGGGTACAAATTGGAACACTCCTTTGTACCCCGGGCTGGAGTTTGCGTATACGTCAGAGAGGACATCGGTTTTTGACATCTCGGCAGTCTTGAAGGTACGGACCTGTCCATCCTATGGCTGCGCGTAGACAGCGGCGATCATCCCCGCGTCTAAGGGTGCCTCTATAGGTCCCATAGCGGTAATGCCGACACAGATCGACTCTTCGACCACGTCCAAATGGCTGCAGACTCCGTGCTACAACAGGTCCCACCCGCAGATATCGTGATACTCGGTGATTTCAACGCCCACCACGCTGAATGGCTTGGTTCTCGTTTAACCGATCATGCGGGTAGATCTGTCTATGACTTTGCTTTGGCATGTGGTCTAACACAACTGGTTACTTCGCCTACGCGGATCCCAGATGTGGAAGACCATGTACTTTCCCTGTTGGACTTTCTGCCGACCTCTCATCCGGACGGATATCAGATCTCCGTCGATGTCCCTCTCGGCTCTTCGGACCATTGTCTGATCCGGAGTACGGTGCCACTCACGCTCCAATAGCAGTTGCGATCTGCAGCTTGCCGCCGTGTTTATCACTATAGGTCAGCTGAATGGGACGGGATGCGGTCTTTTTTTGCATCCTACCCTTGGGGGCGGGTTTGCTTCTCGCCGGAAGATCCCAGCGTTGTTGCCGATTCTGTTGCTGATGTGATACTTCAGGATATGGAACTTTTTATTACATCCTCTGTGGTGCCCATTGCAGGCAGATCCCAGCCATGGTTTGGTCACTCCTGTTAAATAGCATCACGCTATAAGCAGGAGTGCTACCGGGCCTGGGCTGACGCATCAACGTCTCGGGATGTAAATACCAGCGCACTTAAAAATAAGTATAATTCCGCCTCCAGGTCCTTCAAAAGCGCCATTGCCAAGGCAAGGTCAGAGCACATTGGCAGAATTGGCGAGAAGCTAGTTCGCCTTCCTTCGGGAACCCGTGCATTCTGGTCTCTCGCCAAGGCTATCAAAGGGAACTTCTGTCAGCCATCTCTTCCATCTCTGCACAGAGAGGACGACTCACTGGCCCATGCTGCAAAGGAGAAAGCCGATCTGTTGAGCTCTCTCTCTTTGTGTCCAACTCGACTCTAGATGACAGGGGGTACATACCGCCGACCATCCCGCGATGTGAGTGCTCCATACCGGATGTGCGGTTTACACAGCGCTCGGTTCGCAAAGCACTCTTCTCCCTGGACATCAGCAAGTCGAGTGGGCCCGATGAAGTCCCTCCCATTGTGATGAAGACGTGTGCTCCGGAGTTGGCACCGGTTTTAACGCGTCTTTTCCGGTACTCCTACTCCCAAGGCGTAGTCCCGAATTCATGGAAAACAGCTTTGGTCCACCCGATCTCTAAAAATTGCTCAGACCCGTCCAACTGCAGGCCTATCGCCATCACCTCCTTGTTCTCCAAAATAATGAAATCCGTTATAAACTGCCAGCTCAAGAGGTACCTTGAGGATCACCAGCTGATTAGTGACCGCCAGTACGGTTTTCGTCGGGTTCGATCAGCTGGTGATCTTCTAGTCTATTTGACTCATAGATGGGCGGAGGCAGTAGAGTCCAAGGGGAAGGCATTGGCCGTTAGTTTGGACATAGCGAAGGCCTTCGATCGGGTCTGGCACAAAGCGCTTCTTTCGAAGTTTCCTTCCTATGGGCTTCCCGAGATATTTTGCAAATGCATCACCAGTTTCCTTGCTGATCGAAGCATCAAGGTCGTAGTAGACGGTGCATGCTCTGATTTAAAGCCTATCAACACTGGTGTTCCACAAGGCTGCGTGCTATCACCAACGCTGTTTCTCCTGCATATCAATGATATGTTGCTTACTGGTGGTGGTGATGCCTTATATACCGGCCGTGCCAATATTTCTCGGGAAAACGTCGCCGAGTACCGAGACACACTTGTGTCTGAAGTCGAGTCTTTGCTTAACAAAGTCTCGGATTGGGGGCGACTAAATCTAGTCTAGTTCAATCCCCAGAAGCCACAAGTTTGCGCGTTTACCGCTAAAAAGAACGCCTTTGTCGTATCTCCTCAGTTTCAAGGCACTCCCCTTGCTGCCTCAACTAGTATAGGAATCCTTGGCGTCGACATATTGAATAGTGTGCAGTTTCGTGGTCACTTGGAAGGGAAGGCCAAATTGGCCTTTAAAAAGCTTAGCGTGCTCAGCAGAGTGAGATAGTATTTCATGCCGGCACATCGCTTGCAACTTTACAAAGCGCAAGTTCGGCCCCACATGTAATACTGTTCTCATCTCTGAGCTGGGGCACCCCAGTGCCAGCTCCTTCCACTTGATCGCATCCAACGCAGAGCCGTTCGAATCGTCGACGACCGAGTTCTTTCTGATCGGCTCGATACACTGGCACTGCGTAGAGATGTTGCACCTCTTTGCGTATTTCATCGCATCTATCACGGGGAGTGCTCTGAGGAATTGTTCGGACTAATTCCAACCGCTCAATTTCACCATCGCACATCGCGACAAAACTCGCGTTACCATCCATACCATCTGGATGATTGGCGGTCCACCACTGTGCGATTTAGAAGAAGTTTTCTCCTTCGTACAACTTCCTTGTGGAATCAATTACCACCAGCGAATTTTCCGGACGGATACGACTTAGGAACCTTCAAGAAAAGAGCTTACACCTTTCGCGGTTGTTCATGGGCGGCGGTAGTCACTTACCATCAGGTGAGGCGCATGCTCGCTTGCCCCCTCTTCTATAAAAAAAACGTCTGTGCTTGCTCATGCACTTGGGCACTATAATCCTGTCCTGCGCCGATGGCTACTCTCTGTTGAGGCTGGCCGCCGTGACCGAAATTCGGTCTGAGAACATTATATTAGTATAATAAATATATAGAGATCACTTTTTATGGCTATAAATTAAATTATATAGAGTGAAGTAACAGGTTGTATATAAAATTTGTATAAAAAAATTAATTAGAAAAGAAAATAAGGAAATATAAATTAGTGATACATAAATTAGACTTACTTTTATTCATCTTTTCATTTTTTAGGGTCCTGTAGGTCCAGTAGGAGCGACTGGTGCAAAAGGAGAAAAAGGTGAAAAGGGAGAAATACCAGAAATAGCCCTGGAAAAGGTACTTTAGGTATTAACTATTTTTGAATATTATTGTTGCAAATCAGGTAATATACCTAATGTATATTTAATTAGAGTACTTTTTATAAATTTGCTAATTCTAATAAAATCATTTCATGTCGTTATTTAAAAAACATAAAAATTCAGTTTCAATATTTTACAAGTCTTAATTTTCATATACGATTTCCATTTTTGAATGAAGATAAAAGGCGAAAAGGGTGAAAGAGGTGCAGCAGGAATGCCAGGAGAGCCTGGGAAAATGGGGCCGCCTGGTCCATGTGAGACGACTGACAACAGTTTGCCAATACCAGGACCTCCCGGTCCGCCAGGTCCACCTGGTCCGCCTGGTGTTTCTGTGACCGGTCCTAAAGGAGAACCTGGAGGAGTTATTTCTCAGAAAATGTTTTATGCATTCAGTGAAAATGCAGGTAAAATATTTTGTTTATTGATATTTTATTTGAAATATTACTTTAAAATAATGTTATATATTTTGGTATAAATAAGGCATTGACATAAGATTTTATTTGAAATATTCAAATAATTATGCAGTGTTACCGAATTTCATAGCAGTAAAATATAGTAACAGTATTTTACTAAAGAGGGCTAATAACCTTCCACTCACCAGATGTCGCTAGTAGACATTGAGGTGAAGTTTTTTTTGTCATTTAATTGAGAAGTTAGCTTAAAATAAAATTTTATCAGTATCTAACAACAGCACAATACAGAAGGTACAAGCGAAAAGGTAGAAATACGGTAATATACAGAAAGAAGAGTTTAAACGATAGGAATAATGCATAAGCGTGGGTCTTAGATAAGCAAAGGTATAGCATACGACAAATGTAACGTACAACGCGGGAGCGGACGAACTGGCGATCTGCCGTCCCGAAGGCGTGGGCGCAGTGACTGAACCAGTTTTACATTCGCCATACTTACAAATTATATATATCCATTACACATATTATATACATACATTATGTATACACAAACTCTATATAACTCTTTTTCCATTCTTCAACTTTTATGAACATCTCTGGTTCTGTGGTTTCTTATATTATTTATAAATAAGAATAGCCTTCCGTGAACATAAAGGTCCTGCCGGTCTTGTCGGTGCCGGTTTCAATAGGGGTACTTAATATTTTCTTACTTTATAGTTAAGCTTTCCAGTTAAAGGATTAAATGCCACAAGCTTTTATATTCTTCTTCTTCATCAATAGTCTACTGCTGTATTTTGTGACGCATTATTCTCCCATTTTATGAAAGTATAAATGATCTGCATGTATCAGAGGTTATGAAATCTTTTACGTTATTCAATGAGTTATCTTTCGAGCGTTTCGAAACAGACTCGATCGGAGAACTCTAATGCAATTTTCCCTGGGCGAGCGGGGTTTTTTCATACGATTCCAGACTATTTCTGTTGCGATTAATATCAAAATTGGATTTCGTCCTGTATCCGAGTTCCAAGCATCTTTTATGGACTGTAACTGATCAGGTCTTTTACTGTCGGAACTTCTGCTCGTTGCACTTGGAGTACCACATCCGTGGACACCGTCGCATTTGTCATTTTTAGCTGATGTAGAACTTTTTCTACTTGACGATATTGATTTAATATTCTTTTCATTAGAATTGTGTTGAGAGCAATATTGAACGTCACATGCGTCTTTTCGTTTTTCTTTTGTCATATCTTTTTCAAAATAGGGCACTGGATGATGGCCAACATCCTCCACTATTCGATTCTGGCTGAAAATAGGAAAAGTGTGACCGGTTGTATTTTGTATTTCCTCCTTAGGTGTATGGACCATAGTGAAGACAGCTGGTGCTTTAGAGCCGTTGGAGCCATCTATGTGTTTAGGTGGGCTTGGTTCTAATTTGGGATCATCAGGTCTAAAGTCCCAACATATCGCAAGATCCATAAGCGACATGGGCTTTTTGTATTTTCCTCCTAAATCTAAAGCAGATGTTGACGGACGCTTTTTTTGTACATCCACCGTCTCAGTTTTCTTAGGGTCGCAAGTTTTAGGTCTATGAACGCGCATTTTCGACATTTGACTTTGAAAAGAATTTGATTAGTATTAATAAGAATTAGATTACTATTACTACTATACACCTAACTTACTGTATTCACAAATAAATAATGGTTTTTTTTAATAAATTATCATTAATTTAATAAACTAAAATTCAAGTTAAATAGCAATTGTATTTCAAAATGAATTTACTGTTCATTTGAGAATTTATTATTTTAATACATAAGTAGCTTATTTTCTAATTTGTTTGCGTGTTTTAAAAAAATATCGTTTTTACTATGTGTTCAATTTCAGTTGATTCAGATGATGAAGAAGATTTTTATACCTCGGCGACAATGATATATAAAACTTCAACAGCCCTTATCAAGGTAAGTTTAATAAAGAAATTATAATAATTACCGGCCAAGTGCGAGTCGGCCTCGCGCATGTAGGGTTCCGTACCATCGTAATACACGTTTATTTCACCGGTGTAGCTAGACCGCCGTAAAGTCGACTCTCGCGTTGGTCCGCGGGACGCGTTGCGACGGGTACGGCATTTCCGCCGCGGCGAAATACCTCACAATAAAATTTTCATATTGTTATTTAGGAAATAATATGAGTACAGATTTGTTAGTGTTAGGTAATATTTTGTTATTAATATAATATCAAATGATTTTTATACATTAAGTAAATGGTGCCATGACAGCGGTTTGATATTAAATTCACAAAAGACGAAATTAGTCCATATACACTCGCCAAACTTAAAGTATCATAGCATATTAAGACATAAAATCATTGCGCATAATCATAATTGCCTTGACCAACCTCAACTTAATTGTAAGTGTTCCACGTTTGAATTAGTTACATCGCATACATGTTTACGCTTAATAGTAGACCATAAGTTCAATTGGCACGAGCATATAAAGCATGTAGTGATAAGCTTAGAGCATTTTTGACGAATATGTTTATATTTAAAAAGCGATTAAACTTTCGAGACCAAGTGATGCTTTATAACGTTCTTGCTGATTCAATCATAACTTATGGGCTAAGCAGCTACGGACGAACAGACAAATCACACCTACAGTACATTAATCAACTACAACTTAGGATTTTAATAATGATTGTACCTAAAAAAATTAAAGTTCAGGCAAAAACTAAAACTTTTTGAAACTCAAAAATTAAAACTTTGTATGTAAACAATGCAAGGTACTCAATATCCATGATAAAGTCCAATATCAATTGTTAAAAGAACAATTCTTAATTTAGGTATACAAAATACAGTCTCAAACAAAATTCAGACCCGCAGAGTAACTCAAAAAAATTAATAACAATACTCGTACCATCCAAAAATAAATATGGTGAGCGCACCAGCGCTGACATAATACCTCGCTTAATAAATGGTCTGGATAATAAATTAAGAAGTGAACTTAATGAAGTTAACATAAAGTGTAAATTAAATTGTTATTTCCCTAACACATATTAGTTGTTATCTTCATTTTTGTAAATATAGACGGAACGGCACGCAACACTAATTTGCGTGGTTTTTCGTAGTGCTGGTGCCGCATAGCAATATTGTAACAATTTTTATCTGATAATAAAAAAAAATTGAATCCGAAGTGGTGAGGTTTTCAAGTTTTAATACAATTCATGGAAATATTTGATAAATTAATCATCTATCTTGTCATTCTGTAACAGTCCATAGCTGTTCATCACGAGCCTCGATTAAAGGGAATATTTGCCTTAATTGCTAACTTGGCAAGCGGGTTGGTGATCGCATCCTTGACGATGCTTGCCACTTCTCCGGTTAAATTATACTTAAACACGAGTCGACTATAACGTCATCTGACAAAAAAGTCATATATTTTTGTGGAGTTTATATTTTTTTTTATAGGAGAGGGGGCAAACGAGCATGCGGCTCACCTGATGGTAAGTGACTACCGCCGCCCATGAACAACCGCAACACCAGGGGAATTGCAGATGCGTTGCCGGCCTTTTAAAAAGGAGTACGCTCTTTTCTTGAAGGTTCCTAAGTCGTATCGGTCCGTAAAAATCGCTGATGGTAATCGATTCCACAAGGAATTTGTGCGAGGAAGAAAACATCTTCTAAATCGCACAGTGGTGGACCGCCAATCATCCAGATGGTGTGGATGGTATCGGGAGTTCTGCCACGATGTGCGTTCGTGAAATTTGGCAGCTAGGATTAATCCGAACAATTCCTCAGAGCACTCCCCGTGGTAGATGCGAAAGAAAATGCAAAGAGATGCAACATCTCTTCGCAGTGCCAATGAATCGAGCCGATCGGAAAGGACTCGGTCGTCGACGATTCGAACCGTTCTGCGCTGGATGCGGTCAAATGGAAGGAGCTGGCACTGGAGAGCCCCTGCCCAGAGATGGGAACAGTATTCTATGTGAGGCCGAACCTGCGCCTAGTAAAGTTGCAGGCGGTGTGCCGGCATGAAATACTATCCCGCATTGCTGAGCACGCCAAGCTTTTTAGAGGCCAATTTGGCCTTCTCTTCCAAGTGACCACGAAACTGCACGTCACTCGACATGTCGACGCCGAGGATTCCGATACTGGCTGAGGCAAGATACATTTATAGTTTGCAACCTGAATATATCCGAAATCAACTACAAACAGATATACAAATTAGGAGATGGACAGCAGCGTATTTCTAGTAAAAACAAAAAACGGCAGTTGCCAACCCGCTTGCCAAACGTGGCAAATATGGAAAAAACCCGCTTCCCTCGCTTTGATCTATGAGGGAGGCCTTTGACTTTAATAGGCTGTAACGATAACGGTAACGGTATGGAAAAGCAAAAAGTTATTTTTGAGCTGCCACCGTATATCAAAATTGATAAATAATTATTACCAAAAATTATACCACTTTTTTATAGTTATTTAAAAAAATCTACCGTGATAATTGTATTAAGACCATTTCACTTAACTTATACCTATTGTTATTGTTTTATTTTGTTGCAGAGAACAAGTTCGACCCCTTTGGGAACTTTGGCCTATGTTTTACAAGAAAAGTTACTCCTTTTAAGAGTTGAGCGAGGTTGGCAGTATGTGGTGGTATGTTTCATATAAAACTATTTATACATTATTTCGAACGATACATGTGCTACCTATTTCAGTTAAGAAGAATACAAGTTCATAAGAAAGTATTTAATTAATAATGAAATGACTTCATCTAGCGGGACATGTACTGCCTCTTTTTTATTTTAGTAAATTTCTGATATATATGTCTTAAAATTGCTTGGTTACACGCAGATACGAGTTAACTTATTTTTGTATAGTATTCGCAAAGGTAATACAGATTATAATTCCTATGCATCCTTTTATTGTTTATCTGTTTAATAATCAGAAGATAATTTACTATGTCAGAAGTGATTAAAATTTAAAAAAAAATGTGAAAACAGAAGCATTAAAAACTGAATACTATTGAGTTGCGATGATAATCAATAAAACTTTAGCTATTTTAAAAATTAATAACTACAAAAATTACACTTCAAGATCGTAGGATTGCTTTAAAATATATTTGGATCTAATTCGAAAATACACTATATCCACAAAATCGGTCAACTAAAATCGGCGATATTGCACTTCAAATTAAGTTAATTTTGTTATAGTCAAATTGTGAATCTGCTTATGTTATAAGCCTATTTATTATTTATTCGTATAATCATATACATTTATATTTTGCAACCTGAATATAACCGAAATCAACTACAAACATATAAAGTCAAAGAACTGTAATCGAATTCCTCAGATCCTATAATTATGCCTGTTCTTCATACCATTCAAGATGAGAAAATCATAGGCAGAACAGTCCTTTCACATAGTAAGGAGATGAGGAAATGATTAGTCTACGTGGGACTTAGGATTCCAGTTGCGCTTCGAACGAATAACTCGGTGCACTTCCTTTGGCGGAACGGTTAGCACCTTAGATACTGGTTAGACGTTAGTAATTCAGAACGAATTCCCCCGTTGCCTCTGATGCGGAATAATTTTTGTATAAATTTATTATCAATACCGCCATTATATTAACCCAATTCATAAGGCCACGGATTAGCCAAAAAATATTTCGAGATATTAATTCATCAATAATATTTGCAGATGGGTTCCTTATTTGAGGAGAAAGAGCAGAAACCGAAGAATTTTGTGAGTATTTTAAATCAACTGCTCATTTTTTTTTTAATTCTTTAAGTTACTTTATGTTTTAATAATAACGTATTTTGCTGATTCCAGGTGGCTAAGCTTACAGATAGTAGGGAACAGGGACGAAAAAACTTTGTAAGCATTTAGATTAGTTCTCAATTTGTTTTTTACATTTTTATTGCCAGATATATTTTATTATATTTATCTAATCCTTTCATTTCCTTATTTTATCATCAAGATCCGGCCACAATAGTCACAGACACTAGCTTATTCCATTGTGAGGATTTGCATTATAAGTGATACCAGACTTCCCCCACATTTGATGCCGCTTCCTATCACTAGCCTAGATGTTTTATGTTTGAGCTAAATGATATGGTGTACCCTACCTATTAATTTGTATCTTACAGCGGTACTTACGCCCTAGAATAAATCTGTCCTCTTCTAGCCTTGCAAAAGGTATTTGAACAAACACCTGTATTTTTCATATACAAATCAATTTTCTGAAACAAATACTTCAACAAAATAAATAACGCACATCGCGATAACACCGAAGGAAAATGTTACTGCTTCATGGTGTTCCAGAGATTGCAAAAGAAAACACCGATTTGGCTGTCATCAAGGTTCTGCAAAATCAGTTGAAATTAGCTAACGTCTCTGTCAGTGATATTAAGCGTTGTCACAGATTGGGTAGACCAACAGCTCCTCACAAGTCTCGACCCATTTTAGTGAAATTCTTAGATGTAGGGTTGCGTGATAAAGTCTGGTACGGAAAATCCCAACTTAAAGGCTCCGGAGTCACAGTATCCGAATTTCTCACCAAGCTTCGGCATGATATTTTTGTAGCTGCCCGTGAAAAATTTGGTATTTCCAAATGCTGGACTAAAGATGGATCTGTGTACGTTGCAAAACCTGATGGAACCAGACATCGTATAACCAGTCTGAATGACATCAGCAAAATTGAGTGCCAGACAAGCCCAAAACCAGTATCGAAAACTGCAGCTGGGAAGCCCAAGCGAAACGCCGCCGTGAAGAAGTGTTAAGTGTACAGGATTTGCCATACCTAAATATTGTCATTTTTTTTTTCTCTCTTAATGTTATATAATTACAATTAATAGCTTGTGTGACTTATTTCTTTGAGTATTTAGTGTAAGCTTAGTGCAAAACACTCTGATAAATTTGAGGAGGTTTGTGCCTTTAACTTTAACTTGTAACTTTAACTTTAGTGCAATTTTTTTTTTTACCATTGAATGTACATAAAATAAGCATAATAATTATGAACCCCTCTTTCCATTTATTATACGTTTTGGTATACTTAAAAATTGACAATGTGAAATATTGTAAAATGCATAGATGTCATTAGTTTTTGTTCTGAATACTACAGTTAACGTTAACACAAAAATCACAATTTCGAGGTTATGTTGCACTATAACAATAATGCTAAATAACGCACTGACCGTTGCGTTTCCCTTAACGGTGTTTATTTTATGCACCCTTATTGTTTTTTTTTTCTTTCACTTAATCCTACTTTAATAAGAAGTTCATTATTAAACTAATTTTTTATTTCCATTTATTGTTTAAGTGTTGTACAGATAATTTATCGTAACACTCAACTGGCAGGTGGACACTAAAGAATTTTTTATTTATTTGTTTTTAGTTTAAGAAAATTTATTAACTTTTTTTTTATAGTATTGTATTTATTATACGTTATATTTTATTTTATTTTATATAGATATAAATTTTTATTTTGTAATGTCTTATTTAGACATTAGCAGTGATACTGAAACATATTTAACCACAGATAGTGATGGTGACAGTGTCCCTAGCTTACAGCCTCTCTCTGAAATACTAGCTTCACAATTTTCTGATGTTCCCAAAAATTTCAACGTTGTTCACATAAATGCCCAAAGCATTCCGGCTCACTTTTCAGATATGCTGGCTACCTTTGACTCTAAGGATATTCATGCTATTCTCGTTTCTGAGTCATGGCTTAAACCTTGTCTCCCTTCCACTAATTATTCTTTACCTGGCTTTCATCTCATAAGAAATGATCGTACTGTGGGCGGTGGTGGTGGTGTGGCAATATATCTCCGAGCGTATATTCCCTTTTCTGTTGTTGATATGTCATCTCAACCATCTCCGCCTAATGCAGGTGAACATCTTTTTATTGAGGTGGAGCTTAGTCATACTAAAATTCTTCTGGGTGTATATTACTGTCCTTCATCTCGTATCGACTTCTTCACTTCCTTCGAAAATATTTTAGAAAATGTATCTTCCTACTCGCACACGATCATTATGGGCGACTTTAATACTTGTCTGCTTAAACAAGACTCTCGTTCATCCTCTCTTCGATCCATCGTAAATTCCACTAATCTCTCTATTTTACCTTTAAATTCTACTCATCACTTCCCTAATGCTACTCCGTCATTGCTTGACCTTATTTTTGTGTCCTCTTCTGACTTCGCTGTTAAGCACGGTCAGTGTCCAGCCGATGCCTTCTCTTACCATGATCTTATATTTCTCTCTTATAATGTCCGGCCACCTAAACTTAAGTCTAAATTCCTTTTGCAACGCAGTTTCCGTAGTATGAATGTTGAAAATCTCTGCAAAGATGCTTCCAACATTGATTGGTCAGCCGTTTTAAGTGCAGATTCTATCGACGATAAAGTTGCAATATTTACGACTAAATTAACCTGTCTTTATGATAAACATGCACCAGTTCGCGTAATTAAAATGAGACATCTTCCTTCACCATGGCTGACTGATGAAATAAAAACCATTTTAAATAAAAAAGCTGCAGCCAAGACAAAATATAAATGTAAGCCTACATCTATAAACTGGGGAAAATATGTTAGTATTCGAAATCACTGCAATAGGGTGTGTAGGGATGCTCAACGCCACTATATCCATAAATCGGTACAAATTGGTGATTCAGCTAAAGTCTGGAGTTTTCTTAGATCAATGGGGGTTGGAAAGTCCCGTAATATTGTACTTTCTAAAGACTTAAATATTGATTTACTAAATCATCACTTCTCATCCTCCTCCAACTTAAATGGAGCTACAAAATTGAACACATTAAATTTTCTTTCATCGCTTCCAACTCCTGATCATTCATCTTTTGTTCTAAATCAATTCTCTGCTTGTGATGTTAAGAAGAGTATTCTATCCATTACTTCAAATGCAATTGGCAGCGACTGTATCAGCCGTAATATGATCCTTCCGGTTCTTGACATAATCATCCCAATACTTTGCCATATCCTCAACTCCTCCATTTCTTGTGGTGTTTTTCCATCAACTTGGAAAGACGCTCACATCATACCGTTGCCTAAAAAGCCCAACCCTACATCTTTTTCGGAATATCGTCCTATATCTATATTGCCATTCCTATCCAAAGTTCTCGAACGCCTAGTATATAATCAGCTCAGTGCCTTCCTTCGCAATAATTCCCTTCTAAATCCTCTACAATCTGGTTTTCGTCCTGGGCATAGTACTGTCACAGCCTTAGTCAATATTACGGAAGATATAAGATCTGCCATGGAATATGGCAAATTAACTATCCTTTCTCTGTTAGATTTTAGCAATGCCTTTAATTCAATTGATTTTGAAATTTTACTGGGTATACTTGGTTCTCTTAACATATCTCCAACAGTGATTGGTTGGTTTCAAAGTTACCTGTCTGGGCGCCGGCAATGTATTCGCATTGATGACACATTTTCTTCTTGGTGTGATACCATTGCTGGTGTCCCGCAGGGTGGCGTATTATCTCCCTTACTTTTTTCAATTTTTATTAATTCTATAGCTACTAAGATTACTTCTTCCTACCACCTATACGCAGATGATCTTCAAATATATACTCATGTTTCTCCTAGTGAACTACATGTAGCTATTACTACTATAAATAGTGACCTTGAGCAAATATCAGATTGGGCAAAAACATATGGCTTAAAGATTAACCCTCTAAAGACTCAGGTAATTGTAATCGGAAGTTCGAATATGATTGGGAAATCAAACCTTTCTCAAGCACCTCAAGTTGTTTTTGATGGAAATTTTATTCCTCTTAGTGAAAAAGTCAAAGACTTGGGAATTTATATTGACAGTAACCTATCATGGGGTCCTCAAATACAGGAAGTTAGTCGTAAACTCTTTGCAGCTGCTCGATCATTGAACAGATTAAGGAACTTTCTGCCTACTGCCACTAAAATTGCGCTTGCACAATCTCTGCTTCTCCCGATTCTGGACTATGCAGATGTCAGCTATCTTGATCTCACCGAAAAGCAACTTGATAAACTTGAGCGTCTTCAAAATTTTTGTATAAGATTCATATTTGGTTTGCGCAAGTATGATCATGTTTCTTGTTTTCGTAATAAGCTCAAGTGGCTTCCTATTCGTCTTCGCCGGAATGCTCATATTCTGTCACTTCTTTACAATGTTCTATTTAATCCTTCCTATCCTTCTTATCTTAAGGATCGCTTTGAATTCCTTCACTATTCCCATTCGAAGGTTTTGAGATCATCAGAAAATTTTACATTAAAAATGCCTGCCCATAATACCAAATTTTTGGACAGGTCGTTTACTATCCAAGCAGTCCGTCTATGGAATGCCCTACCTCTGTCAGTGAGACGCGCCCAATCTTTATCTGTTTTTCAGAAGCTTGTACACAACCACTATCTTAACCTTTGAATTCAGCCATCTATATATGTATGCATTCGTATTTTATGTCTTTATTTGTTATTTATTTCTATATATTATAATTAAATCTTTATAAATATTGTCTCTGCATCACCAAACCACACAATTTTCTGCTTTTTGTAATCCTGTCCATCCAAAGGTTGTCTGGAAGAAATCGCTTTTAGCGATAAGACCGCCCATTGTGTCACTATTTTTTTTTTCTTTTTCCTTCGTTTATGTATTGATTTGGTGTACAATAAAGAATTATCTATCTATCTATCTAACACTCCTTTTTAAAAACAAGTACTAAGTGTAAGTGGATTTTTTTTTAATAGATACAATTTAAATTGTTCTTATCTCAGAAAAAGATATAAAAATGATTTTTCTAATTATTTTTTATTAAGTAAGGATGACAATCTATTATTATAATATATAATTTTAGCCGATGTAAGTAGATGCTGATATGGACCATTGACACCTATCTCCCATTCGGAAAGTATTTGTGCCTATATGAATCTTTTATAAACACTAGCCAGAAAAGCATCTTAGCCATTAAAGTTATAAAACATTTTTTTCTTTCAGATTCGGCTAGCTGCACTCGATGAGCCTTATTCTGGTAAAATGGAGACTGCTACAAACCGTACCGGACGCAAAACAGTAGATCAAGAATGCCACATACAGTCCCAAAAAGCAGGTCTTACCGGCACATTTGCAGCATTTCTTGCAAACAAGTAGGTATTGTTAAGAACTGCAATAATTTGTTGGCAAATTAAGAAAAGAAATTACGAGTTAGAACTTCTAATGGTATCTCAGAATGATAAATAATTTTAAAATGTCCCATGTTGGTGGAAATCCCATGTTTATGTGGGACTATAGTTAACCGGAGAGAAATCAGGCCCGGACTAAAGGCTTTACTTGCATTCCGAGACATGGGTGTGTAATAGTATGTCAACTTTCTGTCTCCGGACTGCTATTTAGAACTTCGTTACTGAAAAACCCACTAATAAATTTCGACCTGACTCGATTCTCGAACCTGAGACCTTCTGATCAGCAGTAGTACTTACAATTACTAGGTCATTGAAGTAGTCAGTACAATAACAATAATGTTAAAATATCAAACCAAAATTGATTGATTTGATATTTAATCGAAAATAAAATGTAGATGTAAATGGATCACAGTATCTACTTACCATCAGGGGGACTCTGTGCTCATATTATGTCACCCTTATTCTATAAAAAAAATACAAATTTATACAAAAAACACTGTAATAACTGAAAGAAAAAGTAACTAGATTGTAACACTACAACTTCAAACCTTCGCCATCGTCCTCAAGTACCCTCATTCATTCGTTCCCGAGTAGATATTGTCCGCAGTCTTCATATTCTGCAAGCCAATCATAAAGGTTACAAAGATTCATCGCAGCACTGGAATAATAATGCCTGGTTCTTTAAGCTACTCTTTGCGCTACAGTGTTCGGCACAGCTCTCAGCCTTACTGCTTGCCTCTACTTCACGGCACTCTCGCAGATTACTTACCTTCTTTTCGACTCACCGCAGAATACAAGGCAATTCCCTGACACTTGCACATTCTCCGACATCTAGACTGCACTATCGACCTCCGGTCTTAGCAAGATAAACAACGAAAAAGAAAATACATCGAAGCAAAAATCGCACTATCAAAGTACCGAAGTAAAAGTAGTATATATAGAACAGCTCCGAACTACCACTTGGAGTGTTGGCCACTCCCCGGGCAGAACACCTTGCCCGGCGGGAGATCTCCCCTTTTTCCTTCACGGCCACACATTATAATTTTGATAAAGGTATTGAATATTTTAGGGACTGTGATATTATTAAATTACTATTTTGTTTCAGAGTCGAAGATTTAAAGTCGATATTAAAAACCAAAGATAAAGACGTTGCTGTGTACAATATACATCAGGAACTTCTCTTTGACTCGTGGACGGATATGTTTAATGAATCGGGAATCACGACCATCAAATCAGATATTTATAGTTTTAGCGGTAAAAATGTACTTATTGATCCTACCTGGTAAGTGGTTTATATTTACCGCACTCGATTTAACTTTGACAATGTGTTCATTATAGCTGTTTCGTGAACCTATTATACATGGCGGATGTGAACTTTACAATTTGATAATAACGATTTCGTTGATAAATGAAATTATTTATGTCATTTTTATTTTATTTTTTGCGCTCAGTAATTTTATTCATTCTCATTAATAACAGCCTATCAAAGCTTACTGCTGAACACAGGCCTCCGCATAGATTGCCTTATAATGGGGATATTAGCCATAGTTGTCGCGTTTGGTATGCATGTTTCCAATGGCAGTTTTTTTTTCAGTTATTATCATGAAGATGCTGCCGTCCAGCATTTTTCGAATTAGAGCATATGATGAATGTCCATATTTTAATATTAGTTTAATAAACATATCAAATTATAATATATTTTAAAATAATTCACATTTTTATTTCAGGCCTCAAAAAGCTATATGGCATGGCAGTAACTCATTAGGCGTCCGCTTGCCGAATTCGTTTTGCGAAGAATGGCAAAGTGATAGCCCTAAACACTTTGGAACAGCAACTTACATTTTTGACAAAAAACTGTTTACACAAGAAAAGTAAGCACGTTTTGATTCTAACAAAACTTCAACGAGTTCCATGTCCATGAGTATTAAACTCCATTTATTCTTAATATTTTTCTGTCGTATTATTTGGTAAAATTACTATTTTATTACACCATAAAACGTGGATACACTGCTTAAGAAATTTGAATTTAGCAAAGGTATTATTTCGAAAGACTTTTTATAACGAGGCATATGTCGAAAAAAAAGACTATTATAAAAATAAAATAATTATTTGTATATTTTGAAAACAAAATAAAATTCATACATATAATTTACGACGTATGAAGCGATGAATTTCATTTTCTGAGTGCACGATCCGTCATTCAGTTGTAATAAATAATGCGTTTCTTTCATAAAATCCCATCAGAAGTCCACCGCCGAACCCAGGCCTCTCCTCATAGATAATAGGTGGGACATAATAGTGCCAATTGTTGCTACGCTTGGCAGGCAAGTTGGCAACCACAGGTTTTTTTGTTATTTTCAGTTTCGTTTCCCTCTGTCTCGTTTTACGCAACTACAAGTCAATAATATGATGTTGTTATTTCCCATAACTTATTCAAAGAGCAGAGTAACATAATATTATCCCTAGATTTTCTACAACTATATCTATTTATAGTTTTCCTTTAAATATACTGCTACCAATGATGTTTATCATTTTCTTTCTGTTTCCTTAAGCATCTCTTACGAAATTTGTCACACAAAAAAATGAAATATAAAAATAATAAATATGTATGCATTTTATTCATTTAAAATTATTTAACAATACCACAGATGTAATAAACAACGCTACTTAATTATTATTAAATAAAGTGAGAAGAATGAAAATCCAATAAGGTGGTTCTGATAAATTAAACGGTAGAGCTATATGATGTAGCAATTAAACAAAATAACAATTTAACTGCAGTACGCATGGATCGGCAGATCATGAAAGGGCCACAATATCACATAATAGGAGAATTCTATGATAGCGTGGTACTTAGTGATTGACGAACATCTTAATCCTCAATGGTGGCAAAGCATTTGCATTTTGATTTTTAATCCAGGATAAAATAAATGTAGCCTCTCTATAGGCTACTGCATCTACCCACCATTAGGTTAATTGTGTACTACTTTGTAACCCTTAAGTACACAAAAACTATATGCTTAAGTCTATGTTTTCTTTCATACTGTAACCGCAATGCATTTGATATTCGACAAACTCCATTGCTTTTTACAGATACACGTGTAACAACAAGTTGATTGTGTTATGTGTTGAAGTAAGGCCTAATATGATAAGGAAACAGAGACATACGTAAGTATAAATAGATATTACAGCTTTCCATTCAAGGAAATAATATGTGTATCAATTTGAATCACACCTTTCCAACCTCATATCTTCTGTCGCTTTTGAAAATTTACTTATAATATAGCCGTATTGGAGCGGCGCAATCCATCACGCCATTTCGTGAGATAGATGCGGTAAGATGCGGCTGTAGAAAAAAATAACTAATAGCTTCCAATAGATGGCGGTAAAACCATCCCGTTTATCCCATACGGGGAGCAGCGTCATAGGTACATAACGTTGAATACTGCGATCGCCAATCCAACCGCCCAGCGTGGTGATTAAGCCCTAGTGTGGGAGAATCATACTCATCTATTGACATTTAGTGGCTAATGATGGCGATGAATGGGGCAAGAAAATGAATATGCATATTTAAAACGGGTTGGCGAACTTCAAATTTTTTATTTTATTTTATTAGCGGTCACGTCTCTAATAATCTTATTTATTTGAAATTTTGCCTTAACGCCAAATTATTTCGTAAAATAATATTAATTATTAATTTTAAAGACATTTCATAATTTTAAAATATTTCAGCTCAAGACGGCACAGTCCTTATCCTCGGTTAAATTCTAGGTTAAGTGGTTGAAATAATTGTGACAATTGTTAACTAAGTATTATCGTTTAGTATAAAAAAATGTGTCCAAGGAGCGATATTATCATTTCAAAATGTATGATTTGGACAAAAAGTGAATGCTGGTGGTTTTGTATGTGAATAATGACATTCTCAAATCTATTCGTCATCATCAATATTACATCCCATCTAAAATTCACTGCCGAACATAAGCTTATCACAAGCAATGCCACAGAGCACGCTAGCTACCTGCATCCATCAATAGTTGTATGTTGTAGTAGAATTCTGAACTGAACCATCGACTTATATTCAGAAATTTAGATGAGAGTTTAATTGATTTTACATTTATTTACATATTATATAATACATAATATATAATGTACATAATATACAATATTTTGTTATACACAATATTAACACTATAATAAAAGAAACTAAAACTAGTAACTTAATTACCATACAGTCCCACCCCCCACGGTATCGTGCCAAGAACGCTGGCTGCATTTCCCCGTTGAATAGCTATACTTAGCCTTGTAGCGAGAAAAGAACCAGCCCTCAACACCAGCAGCAACGACCAGTCTCGGATAGAGTTCTTTTAGGAACTTCACCGAACGTGGACACCACGGACCGATAGTCTCTACATCAAATGCCATAAATATGTAGTCATCTTTCAGAGACTTATATTTGCGCCACTTACTCATTTCAGTTGCCTCTGATGTCGCTTTGGCTCTAAGCGAGGTATCTCTGAGATGAGAGGCCGCCAAAATGTCTACGCAAGTAGCATCCCACACTAGGGCCTTACCTCTCTCCCAAGGGACCATTGACATACCGTCGGGTCTCTTGCCATAGTCTCTGAATATTCCACAAGCTCTAAAACCGAGGAAATATTTATAGAGACAAGAACCCTTTGGATGACTTCGTTCAGAGATCCGGGCCGTGAAAACCTACCACCACTTTTCTTACATGAAAGTCCGCCGAAACCAAGCATATCGACGCTGCTACCATAGAGGCACTGACGGGGTTGGCAAATCGCCGCTCCTAGTCGGATTCCCACGGAGATGCGCAAGCTTTCCTAATCAAGTAATGTGCCGAGATTACTTGATGGTAAAGCATGTAACAAGTGACTAGATTCCTTAGTCGAAACAGCTAGAAGGCGTGTCTGTTCTTGGTCGCTATGGAAATTATGAAACAAATCTTTCTGCACGATCTGTACCAATGGAATATCCCACTGTTTTTATTGGTTAATTTCCAGTGGAACATTCTCGCCGGAACAGAGCGTTCGCATGTCTGCACTGCCTCCTTAATATTATGTTACATAAGTCAATTGACACTATGCACCGAAGCAAGGAAAGCAGGCAATGCAACGCTAGAAAGATTTCTCACACCGATACCACCAAATTTTATAGTTAAAGTAGCTTGAGTCCAGGCTGTTGTATTTAAAGTTAAATTTAGAATTTTTTCTATAGCTATTTTAAGATAATTTTCAATGCCTTTTAAAATATCCAAACATTTCCAGACCGGACTCGAGCGAAGTAAGTATATAAATCTAAGTACAAGGAGTAAGAGAAGAGCAATGTGGGGTTTTAAGTTATACAATTTATCGAAATTTCAAATGATAAATTTTATTATTAAAACAGGTTTAATACTATCGAAAAACAACGGGACACCTAGTGGGTATAACTATTCCGTATTGACAGTTTTTATTCCTGGAGAAATATAATTGAAATTTTGAATTAAAGTGTCTCTGTTAGAATTAGATAAATTATTGGAAAAATATTTCACATTTATTGCTATTTAGTTCATAACCAATATTTTTAAAATTTCGAAAAATATGAGTAAGATCACTGAGTACGTCATCTGCTCTACCTCCCAGTGTACCGTCGTCATTTCAGTTAGATGAAAGTTCAGTCAGATGAGAATAATTATATTTATTAATGTACCTATATATATATTCATAAAAAATACTATTAAGAATCACGGAAATCAATACACAGATAAATTGTTGTAATGCATAGATATTGCTTATGTACTAAACCTTCCATAAGATATTAAATTGTATGTTTCATGTTTTTTTTTTATAATTAAAATTGACAGAACTAAAATAATATGTAGTACATAATTAAAGCTTATTAAAGAAATTAATTGTTATCTAAATATTCTTTCAAATAATTAAGTTTTATTCTTGTATAATTTTTTTAACATTAATTCCGCTGCTATTTGCTTTTCGAAAACTGTTTATTATAAGAATAAATTCATATAACACTAAGCAAAAAAATTGTAATCTGTTAAATGTAGGTAATACTTCCTTTTAAATATTTACTATCAAAAGTAAAATGTTGTACAAAAGTAAGCATTGTTTAAAATGTAATGAATTTAGGCTGCGTAAGAAATAAACTCCTTCATGTAACATAGTATGTGCCATAAAAAGTACTTTTAATTTTGTAATTTATTTATAAAAAAAGTGAAATAAATGAATATGTTCTCATTGCTTTTTTTTAATTATATCATATTTTACAATTTACCAGTGAAGTCCTAGTAAACAAAATTCTTTAAGATTCTGACCGCATTCAGAAGACAAATTATGCATCGCGTCTTATCCAAATCTAAGAAAAAACGAATGTCGCCTGAAAGCTTTAGCCATTCTGGTGCTGTTTTCTATACAGTGATTATTTTCTTCGGTCCTTGAATATTAAAATGCAAACTAGGGATATTCTCGACTGCGTTAAATGGATTTCGAATGTAGTGTGAACCATTGCATACAAATAATACTGCGGCTACTTCGTTTCAACATTTATCGTATTTGATCGGATACAGAGAGCAAACGCTCTTCGTGTTCTGTGTCAAAATTAGCAAGAGGGTTTTTTCATATATTTATTTTAAAAAGTAGCTAATTTTTGAAATAAAAATATAATATAAAATATATTATATTTTTATTTAAAAAATTAGCTACCTTAAATAAGGCTTCCGATTATATATTACTAATTTTACTACCAAAACTTACCCGAAATTTGGGGGGTAAAATAGGAAGCAAGAAAATATTTTTTAGGAGTATCATCTTTGTTTCAATGGACTTCCAAAATAAAAATCACCAAGTGCGTGTCGAGCCGCGCATAATGTAGATGTAGTGTTCCGTAGTTGCCGTCACAATACGTGAGCTTTCTTGATAATGAGCATAATAAGCGAGTTCGCGGTTTGACCGCTATAACGACTTAAATGGACCCAAATCGGAAGATAATAACTATCGTTTTCTTCATAAAATATTTGTTTTTTACAGATTACAATAATCTTACTAAGTTATAATGCAGCCAGATTTAGTTCATTTTCTATGGATTTTGTAACAAACTTTTTACTAATCGCAGTGCATTTTATAAGTTGGTCGACTGTTACTCGTTAACTTGTTTAGTTTACTTAACTGTGATAGTTTTCCTTTTAACTTCATTATATATACTACTATCGTCTATAATTTTCACATTTCCAAAAACAACGGTTTAGTTGGTAGATGGAGGGCACATGACTTTAATGAAAAATACCACTTTAGAGTCAAATATTTCGCAAACGGACCCCTAATTCGAAAAGATGTTGTTCCACAACCCTAATGTTTTTGAAAGACAAATCCCACATGATGGAATAGACGGGTGAAAAAAATCATGGCCCATTTACTTGTATGGGAAGTACCCAAAATAAAAATATTTTTTAAAATTTCATTTAACATTTTTCTAGGCGTGATTAATATCTATAACTAATCAAAATTCCAGATTTATAGCCCCAAGGGTCTCTGAGCAAAACCGCGGACTGACGGACGGATATGGCGTAACTAAGCGTTCCTTGTTGTGTAACTACGGAACCCTAAAAAAGCTCTTCAAGGCACTATTTCAATAATTAAACTGAAGAAAATAGTTATACCGACTTCGAAAACAAAAAAGAATGAAATAATTTTCACTCAATATGAAATCTCCTCTGAAGCCGAAGCCAAAAGAGTGTATCGAAGAATTAGTGTAATTAAGTATAGCTTATTTTAATAAATAAAACAAAAGAATCATTAAAATCAGTTAAGTTACTTCCGAGAAATCCGCGAAAATACATTTATAAAAATATATGCACCGATTAAAGTACCATCGCGTTTTTGGAAGTCGGTAAAAATGTACTACATCTAATTTAATGAGTGTTTAATTTTATTTAGTATATGAAAAATTGTTTTAAATCGGCGTACTGTGCCGTTTGTAAATTTGGCGGGTTGTGGCAGAGAAAACTTAAATTTTAGTGCAAGTATAAGTTGTACTTGACCGATTTTTTTGAAATAACTGGAGCAAGATCCTAGTGCAATAGCAAAATTGGCACAAAATATTTAACTAGGAAAGTGTGAAAGGCGGGGAACATAACGTCAAACTTGAGTATAAAGCTCATAGCGATTCGGATACTTAAAATCCTGGTGTTTGAAGTTACTGACAAATTTAACTTAATATGTAATGCCAGTCATGTAAGTAGGACAATCATAATCCAAATCGATTGTGCATCCTTCGTAATACTACAAAAAATATTAGCGTATATAGTGTCGCTCATCGACTTGTTGTTGAGTGTCTTGTTGTCTCTAAAACCAGTAAATCGATGGATAAACCGATACATCAATTGGTGTAATTATCAAACTTGGCTAATAATTGATACTGATACATTTACACAATTCTATGGAACGGAACTAAAAAACTTCAGACGTCAGAACAGAGCCACGATTTATACCAGAATTACACTATGATACCGCCGATCAAAATGATTGAAGTGGCAATGGGCAGACTAGGTATTGATCTTTAATAACTGACCTAAAAAGTAATGATTTTGAGGGTCAACTTTCGTCTGAGATACCCTGTGTGGGATATCAGTCCTTGAATAAAGTGATAATCTAAAAAAATCTGGCAGTCATTGGGGATTTCTAACAGAAGTTAAAAGAAACTACGAAAACAGTGTTTTTTTTGGGTTTTCAAATTAGTTGTAGTATCAAAAATAAAGTAAATTAAAATTATTAACATAATTGAAATCATTATCATTAGTCAGGTTTTCAAATCTATCGGGACATCGAGCAACAATTATGTACATGATTTTTATATGGTTTATTTCTTAACCAAAACATATTACGTACAAATTTAAATATACGCAAGCAAAGTACAAAATATAAATACAACTTAATTGCTATAAACATCAATCTACATTTGTATTATTTATACATAGTAATTTTTGTATTTACATGAATTTCAATGCACTTAATTTTCAACATTATTTACATTGTCTACATCGTAATTCATTCATTTCTGGCGATACTGTTACTACAAATATACTGCTATTACGATATATTGATTACACGAATTCATAAGAATTTTCCCATTCAAAAAGCGTCCGATCCGTATATTATACGCGCAACACGTCATACTTATATCTACAGATGTACTATTATTATTAGTATTAGCACGTCAGTAACGCGAACTCATAATATTTTACCCATCCAAAAATCACCCAATGCCCAGCCAAATATAAAAAAAATTAAAGTTACAGCCTATATGAGTCCCATTGCTGAGCACTGGCCTCCCATCATTTCTGAGAGGATTTTAGGGCAAGGAAATGTCCACCGCGCTGCCTCAATGCGTGATGGCGAACTTCACGTCTTCGAAATATTTTTTTCTTCTTTGTCAGATGAAGTTTTTCTTCACCACCGATCACGGGGTAAATCAGTACTTAAAATTGCAATTAAAAAAATTATTGGTGCCGCCAGCAGGGATTGAACCCGGGTTACTCGCGTACTGTGAAATTTACAGCGAGCGTTTGGCCCCTGAGCTACCCACGTCACAACCAAATATAAGATACGTATAATGTTCCATAAAGAAGCATACGTAGAACGTATATTTATAAATAAATTTCACATTATACTCTTAACTTAATTAAATTTTAGGTACCCGTAGCAAGCGGTGCCGAGTGTTTTAAATTATTTTTATATAAAATAAGTGCCACTACAACAAGTACAACGATGTTGAAATTATTCTAGAAATATGGACAAGATAGAGCCCATCGTGTTTTCTAAAACACATTTTTGACCATCTGGAGCCCTGTCTGAGATCATTTAACTTTTATATTACGTTATTTAATGTCTTAGAAGAGAGTTTTAAAACCTACTCCAGTTCTCTGCTAGAAAACCACAATAAAAAGTGATATATGAACGATGTAAATTATGTAAACTTAGATTATTGATAAGTCGTCGCGCGCTCTGACGCGCGATGAATTATTGATAATCTAAGTACCTATGTAAACTTCAAAATTGTAAAATTCAAAAATTCATTAAACGAGATTTGACGTCTTTCAAAACTTCGTAGTTATTGTTATCCAGAACATTAACTTTCAAATGTGATATCATTTTGCATTTCATTTCAATTCCCGTGGTGCTTTAAAAACGGTTTGTATCGTTAAAGTTTCATAATATTCTCTTTGGATTCCATCGCTGGCATTTGGCAGAAACGTGCGCATTGTGGTGCATAATATAATTGTAATAAAAATTTTAATGTAACACTTTTTACTTTGTTAATGCTGAAATGTCATGCTTTCATTAAAGAAGTGTTTCATTTATGGGTAGTATAAAAGTCGTAAGTAAATTGAAAAGCAAAATAACGCGTACAAGTTTCCTCTACAGAGCACAAGTCTCCTACATATTTTAATAAAATAAAATAATTGAGATAAGTAAACACGTTCAGCTTCTCACCGACCCATGTGTGGAACCATAAACCGTTAACACATGCAGAATCAGACACACCATTACCATTACCATTATAGCCTATAAAAGTTCACTGCTGAACATAGGCCTCTCCCATAGATTGCCAGATAGGAGGGATTTTGCCATAGTTGCCATGCTTTGTTCGCCTCTTCGACACCAACAGGGCGATTTAGGGAAGTATATAATCTTTCACAGCTACACAGTAAATCAGACAGACGCACACATTTTAGAAATTAGAATATCCCTTAAAATACAATGTTGTATTTATTGCGAAAAATTATAGTTTTGAGAAATTTAAAACCATGCATTAACACTAAGGGCACAAGGGCAGGTTATTATAGACGTGTTGTCAGAGTAATCACGGTTGATAAGTAATGCTTTTTATGAATTTGATAGAAAAAAATTAAATTTAACAAAACAATGTATTGTCTTGACATTTCATTTGAAAATCATATCCAAATTTACGATATTATACACGTACAACGTACGTATACATCCATAATTAATTATGGCCTACAAAAGTCTAGCCTTCGATTATGTGAACCATGACATACTATTACAGAAACTTAACGCATACGGCATTCGAGGTAATATTCTTAACCTAATAAAATCATATCTGATAGGCCGCAAACAATGTACAGAGATTGCTAGTATATGTAATAAATATAAACGTGAATGCAAATATGTTTCTTCCTATAGAGAAATAAAATTCGGCGTACCACAGGGGAGTGTCCTT